GAATTTACATCCTGATATATGTAGCGATATAACGGGCCTTTGCTAACAGAATATGTAGATAGGCTTATCAGTCGGCAGACTCAATGTTAGGCAATAGGTTGACGCTTCTTAGACTTCATTAGTGAACCTCCATCCTAATCGGTGTGAGGATTACTTTCTGACAATTATATTCTAAAATCGATACATTTTTTCATTCATCTTCAGTAAGGTAGGCCATCGCTAATTCGAAGGCCACATTAATCTTCAATCCAAAACAAAGCACATTCTTAAAATTTTCGCTGAGATGTGTTGCTATAAAACATTCTGAAGTTTAAAAAAGAAACTACACCTATATAGACTTTACATGCAAGGCTGGCAGCTGGATTTGGGATCATTGGAGCTGGTTGACGACGAAAAGTTCTTGTTGAGCACTTTCAAAGCGCGTACGATAATTCATTTTAACCCATTTATCTCGTTTAATTGAACCCCAATTTACCAAGAAAGAAAGTACGTGAGGAGGGAAGGAGCTCCGCTTCAAGTCATCTGTAACGCTACCTATCGAACAGGAACAATATTACATTTTTTAGATATTCAACAGTTCCCAATGTAATGGTTACCGTTTCGCCCCCAATGATCCGCCAAACCAACGTTTTCATATAACAGATGCCACAGGAGTAACACTAGTTTCTATAAAGTAATTGTTTAGTTGGGACTGAGCTGACCCAACCACCGCCGTTAGAAGCCACCAATACACTGTAGGATATGTAAGCCTAGTTAATCGAATCGCTTTGCGCCTGATTTAGGCCCGAGACGAAACGCAGCTGGTTGGAGCGAAGTCGCAAGAAAGATTTCGTCTACCTACGTCTTAGACTTGACAGCAAATTCTGTGACATTATCGCTTGCCCGAGTCACACATGTACGATTCACATTCAAGGACGAACCTTTATACAAATAAATGTTATTGCGGCCGCTCCGATTGCTACGAACAGCGGTAAGTTATCAGGCGGGATAGCGGCGGTACGTGGAGCCTGTTTTAACGAGAAGGCGTCGCCTCATTACCTCACTTTGTTGATAGGACAAAGAGTTAGATGAAGATACGTAAGAAGATAAAAACGAATCGAAGTACGTCGCTCTACTACCACCCAATGTTGTTGTTAGTGGCTTGAGGTAATGACAAACGCTAACCAGCAGCGTTGAAAGACAGCAGACTCTAGAAAATATCAAATATAATATTAAGGAGTTTATTCTGATTTGCATCGCATATTTATCAGCGTGCAGAAGTTGGCGAGAATAGTAAAATGTAAGGAAGTAGTAAATAAGAACAATTACCTCAAAATGGGGTATCTCCTAAATCTGTGAAGGAAACGTGAGTCACTGTGAAACAAGATCCTAGCAAACAAAGCAAACATTCAATACTATCGCATTGTTTCGGCTGGCTGTAACAGAATACAAGTTACCTAGCAGCAGCCGTTTTCCTTTAACCAAAATATAAGAGTGTCCAATTCAGGTATAGCGTTTGTTGGGAGCAGTCATTCGAATAAGGAGTTTCGGATCAGGGCACAAAACTCGTTTTCAGGCCTGATGATTGGACTACCTTCATTCAGGGTTCAGCGCAAATCAACCCACTTTATTTCGTTCAGTAATATTATTGTTACTATTGCTGTGAAGGGTGACAGCTGTTTTTTCAATCAATAGGACTTCAAACGTATCATTCTTCTAACTTTACAGTCACCCTTCAATATATCAGAAGGTGAACTCCCATCAAAGAAAGGAAAGATCATCTCTTCTGAACCTAAAACATTTGAATATAAAAATGGCTAGGATACAAAAAGACAAAGCAAAATTGCAATAAGCAAGAGGACAGACTGATTTTCCTGTACTTGTAATACCTTTATCGTCACATCATCGTGTTATCTAAATAGTGACCGTATCTTCGTTTTGCTCCATTTGAAAAATCGTCTTCGTTATATTAAATTGGACCGTATAGAATTTGAGCTTCTTCATAAAAAAAAACAAAAAAAAAAATACAGCATTTAATTTAAAGTAGTAAAAAAACACATTAATTTATTATGTATCCACCGTGACGCTCCACGACCTTCTCTCATCTATTAATAACTTTGTCTTGTTTAAAATCTGGTATTGAATTTAGTTTTGTAACCCTCTTCACTGTGAACTATACAATTATTCATTTTATTTGCCAATCAACATCGAAACAAAGTTCAGAGGACGTGATGGGCACAAAAGAATTATCAACTCAAATTCTTGCAGGGCGGCCTTTGCTATATGCGGAGCATTTGTGCCCATAGGGCCTTTTTTTGTTGAGCAATTGGGCCATACACGGCTCCTTCTTAATCATTGCATCCTTTTCAAATATTTGACAGTTAAAAACCTTTCCACCTCATCAAACGGAAATTATTGTCTTTTTGAGACGAAGATCCGGTTTAACACTGGGCTCTGGCGGCCTTGCGGAGCTACCCATTAGCGAAGACACTGCTTTTTGTTTTAGAGGGAAATTTTCTATAGAGACTTGTCATTTGGCTGCCAATGGCGGGTAAGATGTATTTCTGGATTCAGTACGTACATCAAAATTCTTAATCCATGAATAGATTTCATGTGTCTATCGGCAGTCTTATTTAGGTCATTCATACTCAGTCTATCCGCTCGCCTTATGTGCGCTGTGTTTGCTGGTCGTCTTCCTTTGGAGGTATTCATCGGTCTTAAATGGCTCATTGGGGTGGAGTGTAGCTTCCAACACCGAGATGCCATTTTTGAACTTTGCAAATCAGTTTTGAGCAGTCCTCTTTGTTTGACAGTCCTTGCTGTACACGGCACAAAGATCTCGAACTGTATAGACAAAATCAATGTCGGATATACCCTTTCTTTCGTCTGAAAGCATCACCTATGTAGCCAGAAATCATCATAAGATTTCGTTCGTTGCACACAGAAATTGCAACGGGTTTTCATAGTAGAAAGCGCCTTCAGACGATGTATAGAAGTAAAAAGCAACCGAAACGGAAAAAAGCGAGGGAAGCATTGAAAAAAAAAACAAAAATACTTTCAACCTAATGTATGTGGCGTTAGACTTAGTCCGCCTCTGGGTCGGCTGCAAACACAGCCCGGACACCAAGCCTTCTATTCACAAGCATCGGATGCTAGCTTCGATTATGGCCAGAGGGTTAGCATTAAAGATTTTTTTTAATTATTCTAATTTTCAATTTCGGTTCTTTTTTGATTAGCGTCAATATCATTACACTCCTTACTAGTCCTTACTTTGCCACAGGTATCGGTGCCCATTGTAGGGGTACAGAGGGACCTTCGTAGTATTATGTATGCGAACTAGAAGAATTTAATTTAGAGGGCTGTTGGTGCATACACCTCTCCGTGCGTAATCCCTCGCGCCACAGCGAAGTTTCAAATATAAGCTGCACACATTAACGTGCTTGCATAGGACGGAGGGCTATACATGTGATAATGTATATATATACGTCCTTCAGTATAAAACGCGACATAATGAATTCTAACCTTTGGTGCGTCTTGCTTTAGTTCTCTCATTTTGAAACTATGCACCATTACCTATTACCATTTACCACTCAGCCATTCCACTGCTGTGTAAGTTTTAGGCACAGAAGTCTATGAAGTCTTGAAAAGTAGTTTTAACGTCGTTTTGAAACTTCAATAATTTTCCCATTAGAAAGTTGCCAAAATTTTGAAAATGGATGAAAACAATGTCTGTGTGGATAACAGAGGGTCTACAACTGTAACAGTTCTATATTAGCCGACGTGATTCTTATAAAGTTAATATAAGAACGGCTCACTTGTGTGTTTCACTAAGCTTGATTATTTAATCCGGAGTTTTTCATGATCCTCTCTAAACTTGAACAGTTCATTTTTAACCTTAATTGACTAACCAGAGCTCATCGAATAGATACTATGTACTTTTGCATCATCTGCTTCAAAGTGACGTTCTGCCGGCTTACTTGCATGGGCCGTGAGCGATAACCATCGACGATCTATTTTTCATCACAGATCATTATAATTCGGTGCGAGATTTGCAAAGAAAAACAAAGCCTCTGTTTTTTTTCTCGTTCAAATCATAAAATTAATTTGTTTCATTGTTTGTCTTAATTTGACCAAGATGAATAATTATAGTATTTTTGTATACGTTAAACCTTAATGCTAATGTACATGCAATTCGCGATAGCTTGTTTCGTAACGCAGCTCTCAGCCTTTCGTTATCTATTTTCTCTAGTGAGGTTCTTCCACGAGTCTTATTTTCGGATTCAAAATTTCCTTGCCGGAATGTTCTGAATAAATGGTTCAGAGTGCAACCTATGCCGAATACAAAACTGATACAACTAACTGTTCCTGCCGTTGTGATTTTATGATGAAAATCAGATTCGCTAATCACTCGAACTTTTTATTCTTCATGGCGCAGTACAAATCGTCTCAGATCTTAAAGACTATAAAGGCCTTTCAAATACTTAAAAAAGAGGTCATGAAACGTCGCGACAGCTTGAAATAGAATATGAATTTTTGTCACGTTTTACGCTAAACGACCCAACACATTATATGGCATACTTATCCCACAGTACTCGTCCTGCTAAGCTTGTTTACTTGCCATTTTCTCAACGTTGCGACATTGTCATGCATTATTACCATGCACGTTTCGGCTACAATATTTGCTTTTAGAAAAAGTATTAACAGTTTTTATAAGCTAGGTAACTTTCGAGTGTCGTATCTCGAATGATATAAACGCAAGAGTTAAACTAAACCGACATGCCAGTAGCCATGATATCGCCAAGTAAGTATCCACTACCAAATAAATATAAATAGTTTTCGGGTTTAAAAAAGCTACTGATGAACGAATAGAGTCCACAGTATTATCATCTTCCAAGTTCTATACTACACGCTCTACCCACAAAAATTAAATCGGACCATTCCTAACTCGACTGACCGAAAAAAAAAAATAGATCACATACAAGTATAACGTACAAATAAAAGAATATCCTCCATAGGCTGTGGAAGGATTCAAAAATGGCGCCAAACAAAGTGATGCTATTTGTCTGCTGGGATTGGGAAAGAATCGCAATATGATCTGGTGTCCGCTAACAAAGCGGCTGATTTGATCAACAAGTGACCGGACTACAACATGCCATCGAAAGAGGGACCTGGTAAGTTATTATAACAATGCAGGACTACATACACCTTTAGTTATCTGGAAGAATGGGAAATTTGAATTTATCTGCCGTACAACTTGGATCTTTCATCATCACACACTATCAGTCGCTACAAACCTTATTTTAACTTAGTTTTAATAGGACGATGCAAAAATCACTTGCCACAATTTTTCGTCGAAAAACCACACAAATTTTACAGTGACGAGTTTACTTACTGATAGTTTAGTTTTTATTTGTTTTCAAATACAAAAAAATATGCGCTTTGACGTTGGTACGTTCAGTGTCTTTTCGACAACCCTATATATACATATATTCCGCGTCTTCACAATTGTTAGCACCCTATTATTTCGTTTTGTCTATATAATCGATGTCTGCTTTTTCCAAATTTACAGTAAGACGTGTGGGTTGACATTTGTATGAGCACGCATGCTGATTCATCTATCATCGAACTACACTGAGCATCATACTCTGAGTTCTCTAGTCTGTAGAGGCCATTTTAATGTCTATCCCTTGTGGTCTCGATGGATCGTTGCCTATCCGTCGATTTATTTTACTAGTTTGAACACAAGACGATATATGTATATTCGATATTCGACTTCCAAGTGAAAGTCAGACAGTATGATATCAATATAAGCAGCACAATTAAAGAGAGTCTAAAAATAATTGTTATACGGTGTTTCTTATTCATTATGCATCACAGTCTCATGACAGTATTGGGTTCGATATTATGGGTCGCGATTGTTAAATTGTTGTGGCGACAACCTATTAAGGACCATCTGCTTGTTGAGTCTTCCCTTGAGCTAATTGCAATGTTGATCCAGGTGGCACATGACAGCCGGATGTCAAACTAACCAAATGGAATAAGGTGATTTTGGCTGATTGAGGATGCCTAATATCATAAGACACTATACAATAAAAAATATATGTTTGCCTTACAGTTTTTTTGCGTCTCTTTGTAGATCGGTGGGCAAAAAGGCACTAGGTATGAAAACAGTTCGACTGCATGAAGTAGGAGTAAACGCCTGAGCGGCTCAGAACAGTGCGGTCGAATAGAAGTTTCGCCGCCCATCTCATAGTACAGTTAGCTAGGAGGTTAGCTATGATATTTTGGTATACTTAGTAGCAGCAACAAGTTTTACAGAATGTGAAAACCTTACGTACATCTCGTTCTGTAAACACAAACGATTTCTGCACCCCCAACTCTATATTATTTGAGATGGCTCACCATATCGATAACTGTGGCCACCGCAGCTTCCATTACTGCCGCCGTTGAGCCCCCACCTTTGCCGATGTATTGTAGCTTGTCTACTCGAAAATAAGCACCAGCCTTGCGTTTGATTCTATGCTGTCGACGTTGCCGCAAACAACGCTGGTGGCGCTCAAGGCTTGTCCGCCACTGTCCAGTGCATAATCGGTACAAATGAAGCCTTGATGCCCCAGTACATCCACTAGGACAGAACGAAAACACACATGGATGCAGCGGCACACGGGTTACGCACGTTACGCACTTGGCCACTGGACTGCAGTCTGCTTTGCTGTTGTTTACTAAGCTGCTGTTGTAAAGGTTCTTCTTTGCAAGATTCTGGTTAACTCGCAATAGCAGTCGAGGTCACGAAGAAAAAGAAAAAAAGTTATGATGTTTTATGGGGTCTTCATGCATCCGCACGCGCTAGTAACCATGTCACGGCAGTGATTAACGAGAATGCTTCCGAGTACTTGGGCCTATTCAACTGGTATCGTTTGTCAACTGTTAGGTTTATGCAAGATTGGACTCCTGTGAAAATGATTAGAATTCGAACTAATAGAAAGACTGAAGAATGATTGTTTGGGTAAAAGGAGAACTTAGCAAGTGATAATTAAAAAACTATCTATGAGTAGAAATTTAAGTCCGGAGCGACCACTGGCTCATACATAGAAGCATTAATAGATGTACATGTGCGGCGTCCAAAGCTATCCTTTCTGTCTTTGCAAGTCTGTAGGGGATCATGGGCATATAGGAATTTCGGAAAAATTCAAAGGAATTTGTTACTTTCATTGATTTATCGAGCAGCCATGAACTCAGGAGAGAATAAGGCGACTGCTGACTAGTTCTATACCCTGGCCCTACTAGGTACTTAAGACAGAAGCCCAAGCTCACTTACTTATTGTAGGTCCATCATAATTCCACAAAGCTTCCGCTAACTCCACACGGGCACACGATATAAACGAGAGAGAAGGTACCGATATGACCGTTTTCTTCAAATTAACATTGCAAAATCGTGCTCTGTTTCGAACACGAATTGAACACAAACGTTTGAACCGATGAAAAGCATTAGGCATTAAGTCAGCCATCCGTCTATGAAGATTTGGCGTACATAGGTCGAACGCACCCTCGATCAGTAAGTTCTGTGAATGTGGACATTTCTCTAAGAAAACTCGAGCTATGAAAAAAATGTGGTCTCATAAATATTTAAATAAACAAAGACTCAAATAAACTATTTAAGAATAATCAATTCAAAAATAACGGCACTTTTGACACTAATAGTTTTGCAAATATTCTCCTGATGCTTGAGACGAGCCAAAATATTTTTGACATCAAAATAAGTGGGCTATTGATGTTATCTATTACTGTGCTTAAGCAGCGTACCACTTGCTAGCACTAATGATTTTGACTCGATTACTGAACTTCGCAGTTGAAATTATTATATAAAAATTTAGAGATCCGCAAAGCGCTCCCTGGTGCCTCAATCTGACTGCATCGAATCGTTCGGACAAAAAAAACTTTCTAACTAAGTTCTTGCTACTGAGCTGACTTTCTATTTGTGTACAGATGCACGTGTACATACTTATGAACGTGTACGCGGAAACAAAGCCAACATACATGCGTTGTTCAAAGCCAAACCAGAGTTGGCCCTACCACCTGCTTACAAGATATGTCCAGTACGATGCTTGCCGTCATGGTTTCTTTTTCTTGATCCTTCAGCCAGACAATTGTTTCTGAAAATCGCACTACTGCCCTTCCTGTTGCTGCCTGTGTTTGTAGCTTAGCTGGCGCTGATTCCTATAGACGTTCGAAAAATCTCTTTAGGACATTTTAATAAATCGCCAGAGTTCAGGATGGGACCGCTTCAATTTTCGGAGGTGTTGCTATTGCAGACGCTGCTAGCCGCCGCTAGTTTAACAGAACATTTCTTGTTCGTCTAGTCGTTCGTGTCTTGAGGTTTGGCTTGACAGCGGACTCCTAATGTAGCTTTGCTTTTTCTCATCGTCAATCAGACCCAGAGCAGAGCTTTCTAGATGTCCTCGGAGAAGTCTGCTCATTTTTCACCAGAAAGCGAATATTATAGTTCCTTTCCTTCGTTCTTTGCCATAGCATGCCATACTCTCTGTCAACGTCCTCTTTTTTTTAGGTGTGCAGCGTTGTACTGTTTTTATTTTCGGTAATAACTTTGATAGTCTTGGATAACTAATAATATATAGATATAGGTATTTAGGGCAGATTACGCTTAAATGTAATACATCTTGATATATTCTAGTAGAAAATTATTCACTTCGCAGTCGTCGTATTTTAAAAGCCAACGATTTAAGGATTAAAGCAAGAGGTAAAGTATAATGAGTTTTCTATGCGAGCTGCTCTAAGATTATTCCTGTCACTACCATACACGAGCTTGGCAACGCTGTTGCCTTGAAGGGTGCAAAATTATAGACAAAAATATAATTAACGTTCGATGTTTCTGTCACAGAGTGACATCTTTATATAAGCGTAATCTCAGTCAATACAAATTGTTACGTTAAATATTCTTTTAAGGATATCGATAACCCTTAGCCACTTGATTTGATCGTCCTAGATTCACATTAAAACAGTACTGAAATAATAGGACATGATTCCGATTACACCACACCGCTGCATTTCTATGATATCCCTGTTTCTAGACCGCTGGAGGTCAGTCCCATATCATCAGCTTGGCTACATTCGATAAGCTGCATAAATTTGCAATTGAACGATTTTTCCGATGATTCAGCACGGATTAGAGAAAACATGTTCATCAATAAATTGCTACGCCTATGATCACATGGTGAGTATTTACTATAAATAGGCCATATAATCTCGTAGTGCTCCTCATAGGTAAGTCCTTCTCGTAAGTTCGAATCAGCTTACTTACAGACCCGATTTTACTCACCTCTACACGCGGTAATCCTACACGCGGAACTAAACTTTCTAAATGTCAGACCAATTTTCCCCTTCTGACAAAGTCATCACTTGTCGCAAACGTTCGAAAGATAAAAAAAAAACATCTAAAAAAAAACGAGCTAGATTAGTCGTTTAATCTTTATGGCATCTGTTTCGCCGTCGCGCTACGGAGCACCTCGAAAACCTTTTGTGAATAATTTATTGTAGTTTTTATTCTTTTTCATTATAGGAAAGGGAAGCTTTTTACCACCATCCTCTGTCTTCCTGGTAGGCAGTGAGAAGTGATTCAAAGCAAATTATTATTAGGGAAATAAGCGCTGGTTATTAGAGTATGGTGAGGCCGATATTTGATGCTGGTGAGCGGCTTCTATGTGCAACGTGTGGACAAAACAGGGTGGCTTTATTCATACTGCTTCAGTTTATAAAGAATAGCAAGCGGGGTGAGAATGAGCTCTCATAAAAGCTGGATTTGTGTTGTTGTGTTAGTACAACAATGGCTGTTGTTTAGCACTCAGCCATGATATTTGTCTAGTCGTAACACCCTTCTATGATAGACATTTTTAGGACGGGTAACCGAAAAGCAGTTTCAAATGGCACGGATATTGGTGCACCGTGACGTTTTGGTGCGCCACCTCAAAGACAGAAAATCATAATAAATCTGATCTTATAGATACGAAACATCTGTATGTCATTTGGCTTAGTCTATCTGAAAGTATTCACAGTTCAGTAAACTCGAACAATTTTCTAAACATTTATAACAAACTGTACATAGCATCATGTACAAATAGCACAAAAGACAGAAACGAGCCTTCCTCTATATGCCGTATAATAGAGACCATATGCAAATTTGGGTTCCCGTTATGAACACGTGATAATTTGCGTCATATACCTCTGCGTGTTATTTTCAGCTAAAAAACGCTAGAAAATATTTAGAACGACGGAGCGAGCCGATAAATAGCTTCCCGTTTCAAGCCTGTCTTCGTATTAATAACCAACTGTTTAACAGCGGTTGATTAAAATTGAATTTATAGAAGAAACGCCACTCGTTTTATCTGTCCCGCGAACCTTCCAGCCAATCAGTAGTCCTGACTATCTCTACAGAGCGACACATGTTTCTTTTTTTAATGCGTCCGAAGTATCAGTATGTGTAAGTGAGACACTTAAACCTAGCAGTTGCAGATGTGAGAAGGGTAGAGAACCGATTGTATTCCGGTGTTTTATGGTCAGCGGACTTCCGAACGGAATGGGATCGAAAACGCATTCGCAATGAAGCACGGTCGTAAGGAAAATAATAGCAAGGCCTCATTACATTATTCTGTAGGCAACCGAATAGAAATGGCAGAAACGTGTGCCATTTCAATGCATCCTTATATATGGAACCTTGCATAAATAAAAGGTCTGTGATTCTTACAAAAAAGCCTATCGTATTTGCTCCGAACGAATGAAAATCAAACAGAAAGTATTACTTAGAACAATATGCGATAAATTCAAAACAGCCCTGCGTACGAAAACTGAATGAAGTCATTTAATGTACGAAAATTTTCACGATAAACTGATGTCCCAAACATAAACTAGTGAGCTTGAATGATCACCTATCAAACGTCACTTGGAATCAGCTATTACCAAAGGTCGATAGGCCTCGAGTACTACACGGGCCTAAAATTCTGTTGCCAACAGCTACGAAACCTTTAAATAATTAACGAAAAGCCTATACACAAACGTAAAAATCTACAGTAAAGAAAATGCTTGCGGCAACTGAAACAACAGATAAAAATATATGAAAATGAATATCTGATAAGCTTGACTCGACATTCACCTGCATTTTCAGTAAAGAGAAGCATGTTGGAAACGGGCATTTTTAATATCATAAAATAAAACATGCGCTCGTATGTAATCATTAAAGCCGACACACAGATACTTCACACAGATAACTTCACAGATACTTTTTAATATTACGCGCTGGTAATCATTTAAAATCCCGTCGTTTTTGATTCTTCTCCGATTATGTAATTCGTATCGTACATGCAAAAGCCAGTTCGAAAAAACTGCTGATTCGTTCTTTACCAGGGACGTTCTAGTTGTGGCCAAGTTTACCCTATGCGGTCCCATTCCCGAATAATCGAATCATTGGGAACGACCAAACGGACACAAAACAGGTTTGCTGAATTACTCGTTCAAGTGTGAAGGAAATGTATATTAAGACTGCGATGGACGGAGTGTCATATTTTTTTTTGCAGTAAGATGGCGCACTAGCTCGATACCGCGATTTGGTACAAAACTGGTTTTCCGAAAACGTAACCCTCTCCCTAAACAAGGATTTCTGGACGACTCACACGTTGAACAGTTTTGAGAAACACGTCTCCTTAATTTCGATAAAATTTAAAGAAGATTATGAAGCCAGTGATGGTCATCTAGAATTAAGTCTAGAATCCAGAATTTGTCGGAAACGCCTTCGAACTAATGTCGATTTGTCAAGATTTAGCTTCTACATTCAATATAATCACTGACTAAACAGGGATTCGCGACTGCACTTTGACGTATACGCAATTCTAAAAACTGGACCAATAAAAGTAAACCTTTTACAAACGGGTGGTCGAACGTTCTGGCGACTCAAAAGGCTTATGGCACCTGTATTTACGATGAACCATTTTTTGTTACTTACTTAGAACGGGCAATGGTTCTGAAGAATATACTTCATTCATGGCAAAAAAGATGCATCTCTGCCAGAACAGTTTTGCAGCTTGAAGCTCACTTTTTTGTCTAACATCAGTTAAGTCAACTTCCCGTGAACTTTAGCTATTCTTAAATTTCGCAGAAACCATCTTCAGAAAGATAGCTTGAGTTACAACCAAAACGTACGTATTCCAAAGGCGATTTGACGTCTATTGACTGTAAGGTCGGACATATAAAGCAGCGATATGGGCTGTTAACCGCTAATTGTGAAAGCGTGGCAGTATAGGTAAGGCAATCTATGAATGAGAAAGTAGAGGTCAATTTTGTCCTCAGTCGATTAAACGAGCCAATAATTCATAAGACGCGTAGTTCTTTTTTATTCTGCCAATAGTTACATCATTTTAGTTTGAATCATACATATTATATTTGTGACCATGTGACACGTCCAAACGCTATGTCCTATATTCTTATGTGCCACTAGAAGATAGATATTGCCTAAGCTATTAGTTTGAATTAGTTCTATGAACCTGACTGGTTTGTCGGCTGAGTTAAAAATCGCTGGAAGGTTCGATCAGGTGTGGTCGTCCGATTACCCTATGGCGCATAGGTAGAATCAGCATGGAGTGTATGTGGATTACCTCAGAAATTTCTACAGTCTGGACAGCGCCGTTATATCATCGAGTCATCTTCGTTACTTCGTACAGTCGTTTTTTCTGAAACCGAAAGCACTAATCGATTCCTTTATTTTAATCAGAATGAATGTTTTTTTTTGCCAGAACGCTCCACAAATTAGGCAGGAATACATCCACCTTAATATTGAGGGTAAGTGAATGAGTTTAATCCTTTATGGGGTGCAACTTCCAGTACAGCCACAAAGTTTCCGCTAAATCAAGTCACCTAAAAAGAGCAAGGCATAGAGATTAGCTTGATCTCGGTCTGCACCTTGCGTCGACTCAAGGGCGATTACCCTTCGAAGAGATACCTTCCACTTATTGTCAGAGATTAACGACGTTAATGTCTTTTATTCCTTGAATTCGGCTCGCTCTTGCCGTGTCGTTTCATATTTTGCCCGCTGTCGTCTGCCGGCAACGCCTCTCGCTTTCGAGTCGGCGATAATGAAGCGGGAACAGCATTTAGCTCCGAATCATCTTGCTCCTCCCAGTTGGCGACTACGTTGGCGCATTGGATAGCCACATGTCTAGTGCAAGTTCCTCGTTATGGTGCACAACGACCCCATGTCAGTCAGTTCGCGCAGTTATCTGATCGGATCCAAAATCCTTAATGGTGGCATAAGGCAAAAGTTGAGATTATGTCTAAAAACGAAGGACGATTATGAGGACAAGACTGTGTCGGTTCGACGAGCAACGAGCTTCTCATAACAGCAGACGCAGTTACGACATATGGGCGTACAGAGGTACTTGCTCTTGCAAAAGGCGTGGCTATTGAGGAACCAAGCGGAATAAGGGTGAAAAGATCTACTGGCATGTTGGGCACCAGATGAGAATTGAGTCCACACACGGGGAAGAAATGAAGCCGGCCAACCGGCGTGAGAGAAAACTTTAGACGGTATAGACCGTACGACAGATCATTACATATAGATGAAGAAAAAAATACGTGACAATGAATGGACCTAGCTAGTCATCCATGCATCCTGGCTGCTTTAATGGGATCTTTGATACTGGGTGGGGTTATGTGCCATACGCTGTTCTAATCATTAGAAAACCTCTGCTATAGAGACTATGGTAAGTGTGAACAGCATATTTGACGACAACGAGATGTAAAATAGGGACGTTAAATAGAAGTATATCCCGAATTTAATTAAATATTGACCCTGTAGCGGCATCGATTTCACGTTGAAATAAAGTATCGGTGATATCATTTTCAATAGGGATCCACTTGAGTTGATTCCTATAAAGTTGCGAAAGTCATAGCAGTAATTCGCTCAATTATGGGTAGCCAAATACATACTACTTCAAGGCACATTCGACACGCCTCGATAAAAACCTTTCGAAGAAGAATCAAGCCTATGCTTTGCCTTGCTCTCCATAGATTACCAGAGTTTCAAATATGAATATCTAAACATCTCTTAATACAGATAGTGTATAACGTAGAGTAAGGCTTTTTGTTTAGTTTGCATCAAGAATTTTCAATACAATGTAGGGAAGTCATTGAATAGAGGCTTAAATTCTGTCCGTGCATTATTACTAATCTTGGGCTACAATAGCCTATGTGGTATGATGGTACCAGTTCGTACGTTAACTGATATATATATCTGTTACTCCTGTTGGTACTGATGAAAGAAAACGCGGCTTTTTATACGGTGACAGTATAAAAATATGTTATTCATTATCATAATTGCCATTATCATTTCCATTATCACCATTTAAAAGTCTTGTTCGACCCACATACACATGCAAGCACGCTCAGTGTATTGTTATATTCATGATCGCGAGCTACGTACAATCATCAGACCAGTGTCTTTTAATTCCTTCATTAATATCAAATCACGACAGGATGGAAACAGCAGGCTGCATTTTCCCATCTTGCATTTTTCCCTTTAAACAGACAAAAAAGCTCAGGCTACAAACTTTATTCGATCCAATCTGAGTATTATCGTTATTAATTGTTGCTTCTGCCGCATGTTCTCCCTCTTATTGCAAAAATTGGATAAATGTATGACGAGTCAATTCATCAGTCAGCTAAAACAATGCATACAGGTGAGCTGTGTTGAATTTCTGCTGTCTGTTGTCACTAGAATTGTACCATTTATATTTTCATTAAATATAAAAAATGCTCTCTCGTAGTCGTTACTATATCATTCTGTCAGGACAGTATTTGCTGTTGCTACTATTTGTCGTAATCTCCAACACGTATTTACACATACAATAGTTAGTTACATAGATTCGCGCATACTGAAACAAACCTCAAACATCCACACAAAAATGTACACATCCGACACGAGTCTGGCTCCCGCTTTGTTGGCTACGCGTCCCCACCTGATATTTTCAGCTTTATATATCTCTCCCGCTGCTATCATGATCACAGATCTGTAGGAAAGCTAGGCGGACAGAGCCTAGACCCCCTGGACAGTATCGGGACTCGTCAGCAGTCCTCGGGCCTTCGGATATAACACTGTCAGCATTGAAAAATGTCGTGTTCATCTAACCCAACCCAATTATTCGTCGATCCTTTCCTCTGCGGCATCGAGCTAAAATTGCCGGGTCCAAATTGTTACAGTAATCAACGACTACCAACGGAAATAGCTATAACCGAACTTACGTTTGTGTACATTTGTTAAGTCGTCCATTTTTGTTAGTTATCCGAAATATTTATGTTCATTGTGTAGTTTGTGTAGCGTTAATATGTGTTACACATCATGGGTTTATTCGTCATCATCTGCTAAGTCGTTACATTAAATGTTCATTTTCTACCCAGACATCTGTCTCGGCGGTGAAGAAGGACACTAGTTGTGCAATCAGGCCCAATTGGATAAAAGTACCAGTAGATGAAAATAAACAATCCACCAGTTGATTTCGTATCCTAGTTAACGGACAATAACACATGAAATAGTAAAAGGTAATGTCGAAAACAGAAGCGACAAAAAACAATAGATCTCGATCTAGGTTTACTATAGGACTATTGGCAAATTATATTGATCATGAATTTAGAAATCGGATTCATGGAAAAACAGAAGCAGATTTGGATACAAGATGAACTGCTAATAGTATCTAGAGTTAGAAAGATAGTAAAAAAATGAAAAATATATTTTTTTCAAAGGAGTAACACAAGAGACAATAGGAACTTATAGAATAGATATAGCTTATGCATTATTGATATATTTAACACAGCCGTCGTGATCCCTATATGTATTCGACTCATAATGATTTTCATTAATCATCCCAAGGTACTTGGGCGTCTGGTACCCTATCGCAATTGAGCTGACTGTCTGACGTGGTGTCACGTAAAATCTGGCTGAAGCTGTCTGCAACATAGTTTGGAGTCTTCTTGTCTTCACTTTTCACTTACTGCCACTCGCCCGCTATATCTCCCCCGGTAGTTCATCGTCACCCTTCAGCATACGTCCAACAGACACCGATCTCGTTTATGATCGTCACTGATTAGCTAAATGACAACCTTAAATTTTTTAATTCGATTCGCTTTCTAATACGATTTTCGTTAGCGAATGTCCGTGTACTTTTGCCGAAAACTACTCTTACTTAACTTCAACAAGTACCTCACCACTTATCATCGGTTATGTCATCTGGCACAAATATTTCCTCTATGCACCTCTGATTTTCTATCGTTTATTAATACTTTTTTCTGTAAGAAATTATATAACGCTTTCATCACGAATATATCTTTATTGCATCATATGCATTACATGCTGGTTGCAGTGTTTTTTCATGAATACTATTCAAAAACCCTTCGCTTCACATGTGACATATTTGGCAAACATACTCGTTCTGCAAATACAGCAGTTTCCTAGGCCTACTACCTGTGACAACATATTTCATACAAACGCTCATTCAAGGCTCACAACGACCATGACGAGGGAACCTAGTACTCTCAAAACCCATTCATTATAGTACACCACGATAGTGTTCTAACAGGATGCCCACTTCCATATATGCTCTTTTACTGTTTTTCTTGCGTGCGCTTTTGTTATGGCCTCTCTCTCTCTCTCTCTTTTTCCCTCTCTCCTGCCTTCCTCTACGCCAATATTGTGTGCTTTCAATCTGTTATATTTCTATATATCTGCACGAGGGAATGTGGTATATGTATATAATTATATATTTTGCTTATTGCGGTGGTTGCTGAGTTGGTCACGCGCACTGGCGTTGGTGGATGATGTTTTCGTTATGAAAGCTCCGCGTAAATGTCGAGAAAAAAAACGCGCCACGCATTAGAGTGCACGTTCCATTATTATCATCAACCCATACAATACACCCATCCATTTACCGTACATACATAGTTTTCCCCTGCGTCATGATAATGGATGGCGTGCGTGTCTCGTTAACCTGGTGTGAAATTATTGCGATATATACACGATACTACACTTCTACGGCCTTAACAGAAATGTCACAGTGTCAGTGTGCATATGAGAATTCTGGGCAGAATAGGTGCGTCAGGTTTGCTTGAGATGGTGCGTGCGTCTTACCTGAGCTCTACCTCACCCTAGCAAGTCCTATTGGGGCAAACATTAGCCCCACAAAGGACACTGGCACCTGCTGCACCTTCATATTGTATAATATTATTATTATTAATAGTTACACTGCCAACATATCATGGACATGTCGTTTCTGCAAAGCAGTAAAAGTGACAATTGAAGATATAATATGATATTAAAAGGTAGCGCTAAACAATAGAGCCGTTTATAACGGCTGCATCACTACTTCTAGACTGTGGTGTGTAGACTGCGGCATTACGTTAAATAATAACAGTAGCCCGTTGTGGTAACTGCGATGAATAGAAATCATTGAAAATGTAGTTCGTGCTCATTTCAGCTGACTTCGAACGCGGCATCGATTGTCGTTCGATGTTGGCGAAATGTCTTGAGAATCCGTCGGCGTAGTTTGTTCATGTTTTCCACAACGAGAGTATTCCATGGCTCGAGTGCGTACGCCACGGTGTAGTGATCGAATGCCGTAGAGTAGTCGCCCTAATGACAATGAAAATTTATGGAAAAAAGGCATCGATTAAGACAAAGTGAACTGAAAAAAATTCGATTACGTCGCAATATGTCAGCAGTCACAGCTATCTTAGTATACGTAAAACAAGCTGGGTCTGGCTTTGATTAGTATTTAAAAGTTTACATCGTCGATTAGCCTTACTTGTAAATGTCGGATCACTCCAAGATTAATATGCGCGTGAGCTAAATCCGGCTGCATCCTGATTGCTTCCATGTAACACTGTAAATATAATCAATGAAAATGCTAAGGTCAGGCAATCAGGGAAGTTATTATATCGATACTATGACATTAGCCTTTTTCAGGGGCAAAAACAGGTACGTGTAAGTCAAAGTTATCATGCCAAAATGAGGGGAGGACTTTTCCACAACCATTAGATAGACAATTCCAGAACTCAGTTTTACTTGCCTCAGCGGATCGGTTAAGGTGACTGAGATCCTTAAGGATATCCCCGTAATCCGTATAAAGTGGCGCACATTCTCGGCCTGCGTCTGGTGGGCAAAGCTGGATGGCTTTACGAATCCATTCGGCTGCATCAGCGCTACGATTAGTGTAGCTGTACAGTAACGCCATTTGACGCAGGCCGTCCCGCCAGGGCAAGCCTTTGCTCTGTTCTAAAGCTTCGAAAAGAATTCGCTCCGAGGTGGACGCATCACCTTGTGATAGCAGCATTTGCGACTACAACACGATAAAACAAACATGGAGAGAGAACGTACCTTAGTCTTTCTTTTGCGGATATTTCGTTTTCCACGTTTCGTATCACACTTATCTGAAACTCCGACTCACTTTTCAATTGAGAATTGATCGCACGCGACCGGCAAAACTTGGAAGTTGAGTTCTTTTTTTTTTTATATTTTTCTTTGCATATTTAGATTGACGTACACACTAGAGTGGAGTAAACATCCATCATTTATTTCGTGATTTTGGTTCGTTTTGTTGAAGGCTCAAAGTAAGAGTGAGGTATGCTTAACTGATGACAACAAGTTCGTTCGGCCGTCGCTATCACCGCACTCTTCCAGTCATCTGTCAGCGGCGCTCAAAATCATCGGCGGCTGCATGTTCTGCATAGGGAAGCCCCTTACATTGGCGGTACCTTATCAAATCAACGAGCTCAATACGCACTGCCCGTAAGAACTCAGTGAGTTAGCGGCTGGCCGATAGCTAACAAGGAATCACACTAAATCATCTTTCCTAGTCTAGCTTCGCCTAAACCTGAGCCAGTTTTTCTCCGTCGGCGGTCCTTAGACTTCTCTTTGAACGGAGGGACATACGGCATTCCGGCTTCTTGGCTGTAGAAGAAGTATCCGACTGGAGCAGCTGGGGGAATTCACTGATACTAACAAAAAATATTCCCCGCTGACTCTTACTTCTCTATCTAGTTTCCACTGCTAGAAGTAGACCAAAGAATCACTTCCTGGACTGGATGGAACTTCGGGAAAAGAAAACTCAGCAAATACGTGTGTCGCTGTTTGTTGGTCTTCTGCTATGTCAAGTCACCGCCAAAAGCCCTTGAATTGAGTGGGGTTTTAGGGATTCGAGTGATCCCGATTGAAATATCGTTCATCCAAGATATTCAACATTGCCGTGGGCCTACTTCTATTTCGACCCTACCCTATACTCCTATATCTATCCAGTCGGTATCGGGCTTGGTGAATGCAGGTCGATGTCGGAACCCCGGTTTCACGCGTTTTTGTCAGTTACACACTAAATCTATATCCCGGTAGCAAGGTAATAGCGACGATGGCGCCAGCGGCAGTCCTTTATTGAGTGGATAGGCAGTAACAACTTAAAAAGGTATGACGATGACAAAGAGGTGGATACGCACGAGTGCATGTACAATTATTCGCCCGCAATTTTCTTCGTTTAATGATCTTGAACAATATCTCGGCCAATGAAAAGCCAATGGTGATAAGGCAAGGCATTTATTCCTGGTACATATACAATACCATCCAGCTAGCTGTATAGGTTTGAAATGCTTATTGATACTAGTGGCAGACAAGTGATCTCTCTTTAACCGAAGTTATCTTAAAGCTACTATGTATGCAGCATCTACATGTGTTCTTAAGAAAACACAAATTCTTTTCTGTGAGATTAATTGGGAAAAAATATACGAATAAAGTCAAAGAATACATAATGAAGTTTGAGTACTGCGTTGCCGGAATACATTGGTGCCCAGCTCACAAGCCTCTAAGACAAATTCTCTATTTCGATCATCAGTTAGGGCTTTATGATTGCTTTCAAACTATTTGAGTTGCTAATGTCGGCCTTTACTGCTCAGGTAGATTTGACCAGCGTGAATATCTTTTTACTTCAGCCCGTTTTACTTTTCGAAAACAGTGCCACAGGTCGTCACTGAAAATGATCCTAACGCATATATTAAACAATCTATGTCCGTCCGCCATGCCCCATCAATCACCAACTGAGCTTCGATCCTGCTCGGTATACTCACGTAGTGCAGTTGGCTCTCGCGATGATGAGGATGCTTTTTTAGGATTTGTGTGAAGAGCTCTTCTGCCTCGCGAAAGCGCTCCGCTTTGGCATAAAGAACGGCCAGCTGGTCCATGACGCTCACATCCTCGGCATTCAACGACAAGGCTCTGAAAAATATTATCAGTGAGGTTACTATAACGCGTTATGACTTTTCTAATGAACCTGGAAAGGAACACGGGTGACGTGGACCGCTTAGCATTCCTTTTGGAGATTCTCCTTAAAAAATGACTATTCGGAGTAAGTGATAAACCCCTTTCAAACAATATTGGTTCGGTGGTACGTGGAGTCATTTAGTCGGCAGTGCTATTGCGCACTTTTGCTATTCACTAAACACGCCAAGGGAACAGTAGTCTACTCTGTATACCTTTAGCAGTAGAGTAAGGGTCAGAATCAGCTTGGGTAAAGGGGTTCTTGTAAGCTGTCATACCGTACCCTTCCAAAGCAAGGAACTTCAGTCAAAAAGAACAACCAATTAAGTTCTACTTAGTTCGTCAATTGCAGAAAGATTTTGATAATTTCATTATAAGAGCATCCGTCTGAACTACCTGCAGTACAGTGGTTCAACTTCCTATTTTACGAACAGAATCAACTTCTTAATGAATTCCTCAACTGATAAATTAATTTTCTTAGAATATAGGTAATAAAGTACAGTCTATTAACACCAACCCTACTAATGGCCAAGTTCACATAATCAACTTCTATCATGGCGCTCGTCAACTATACCCCACACAAAATCTACACTCAATTATAGAGATAATATCCTTCTCAAAGACTGGTCATTTTGGCCGGGCACTATGGAAATAAGTGTACCAGGGGTTTCGTTAGGTTAACGAATTATTAATGAATATGTTCTGTCTATAATGTCTAGTTTCTTCTCTTGTTTCGCTTGGATATATTTACTTCTTCCCAATTGTCTTCCTTCTTATCGGTTATCATGTTTCGCATCATATTAGATTGGTTATTGCCAATCGTGTCCTGACACCATGTAGCAGAGCTCAGCTTCCCTGCCTCTTTATCCCACCTATTATATGGTACTCGGCGAGCTCTTTCGTCCTTATTAGCAAGCAACGCTGTTAACCCTAATGTGGTAGACCGGTTATCTCACCGTTGGGAGACAGCGTCGAAGGCTCAGCAAATAGTAGGAAGGCGAACCAGGACGTTACGGGCAACGTGTAAAGGATATAGTGGAACAATTGAGGTTTGCGGCAAGAGGTATGAGAGAAACCACACGACGAAAACGCATCGCCGTTTAGCGTGACAGGCCTCTTTGCTAACATCTATTTGGTAACACAAGCTCCCCGCAGGGACACCGCAGATGGACGGAGCGGCCATTACGGTCACCACAATTGACGCTCAGATTAATTCAACCCTGCCACCCTTCGCCTCGTTCTGGAGAGTGTCGCTCTGTCAGAGTTCACCTTTGCACAATTTCACTATGTCAGTGAATGAGACTAACAACATCCATTGTTCTGCCTAGGCAAACCATGGTTAACGGTACCCCTTTGCATATTATATGTGCTGTATAGACAAATTGTTTTACTATCGATATAGGCTTGTCTCCCGCGCATTGCTACAATAATCGACTGCGGTATACGTAAATCACATATCACTGCTTTAGCGATTTCTCTAAATTCCTTTTCGTTATAAAGTGCCACGCTTTCCGGTTCTAGGTAAGGGTGGCAAATGTCTATAGCAGCTTCAGTTTGCGAGCAGTTGAGTACGTGTCGATATACGGACGCACCCAACATTTGGGCAATTGTGTCTGTAATGCGTATTAAGATTTCTTCGGTTAGTCACAATAGCATTAAAGTTCCACCAAATCGCAAATTTAAGAGAGCAATTTAATTTAAGAAACCAATAACTACGCAGTTATGGTTGAAACTTCTGCTTATGTTGTTTCCATAATCACTTCAGCATCTTACCATCGCGATTTAGAAAAATCGATTCAAAATAAGCAACGTATTGACAGGACAAGGTTTCACTGATGCATTACTGAGATTGTAGCATGTTCACTTGCCGTCGACTTCCTTTCCTTCTTATTCGTGGTTTCGTTGCACAGCCGAAACCGTTACAGAGGACGAGCAGACGACACTCGATATCGACATTGGTGGTGTGGCGCACAAAATTAAACAACTAACTAACCAGCCATCGCCGCCGCCGACCAGCGTGCGAAAGGAGTAGCTAGTTTTCTGCTACTTAATTATTTTGACTCGGCGTCCCTGCTATTGGTCTTTTGTTCTCCATTCTTGGCGCTCCGTTCTTGTTAGCGCCTGCGACGTCGGCGTATTATTGTATCTTATTCATTATTTGCCCTTAGTCGTTCGTTCCCGTTGTTTCCTCTCCCGTCCTGTCCCATTGAGCAAGCCAGGGGTATAACAATAGCCAATCAGCAACACTCAGGCAACGTTAACGGGACCGAGAAACCGGCAACAGAGTTACGGCGAGCGCGCGCATAGAAAAGAGGAAATTAGAAGGATGGATCTAATGAAAAGGGAAACGGACTCCTGCGTTGTTTGTTGACGTAGGACTGGGGCAGTACTTCCGCCGGTGAAAGGTGGAATAAGACGGGGTTTCTTCAGGTGGCGGCAACGGCAGGAACAGCAGCATGAATTACCTGAATCACTTGTTAATAATTACCTACTTTGGCTTTCATGCCGCTATTCCACTTGTTCTCTGGTTCTGTTCCTTCTTCTTGCCAGTTCGCTTTCTCTCCTCCCGTCGGTGAGTTCTCGACGCTTTGCGAAAGAAAGGCACGCGGCGGCTGATCCTCTAGTGTTCCGCTAGTGAAGAGTTGTGGCGTGGAGGCTGCGAACTGGAATCCCAGAATGCCTGGGGCACGCCCGGAGCATTCGTATCACCGCTACCTTTACCTCCGCGCAATAACAGGAACGAGCTGTCGCAGTTACATTTACTTGTAATTGAATCCTGTTGCACGACGTGTAGTTAGCTCAGTCAGCCAAAACTAAGTAAGTCAGATCAGCTCAAAGCAGTTAAAATACCAGTACTGAGTGCAGATCAAAGAGTTAGAAGGTGGTCAGACCTGTGATGTGGAAGAGGGGAAGTTAAAGGTAAAGATTGTTGGCTCGGCTTTTCAAGCAGGGTTTCGTTATTTCGGGATGGAAGTTTAGAGGGTGACTGGTTAGATGCAGGAAGGTAAATGAGACCCAGGAAATGTCCCATGTATAGATGCACCTCTCATGTTGTTAGCTGTAACCGGGTAGAAGTGCGTCGGTTGTGATGTCAGGACACAAAGAGTGACAGAAAATTCTTGCCAGGGGTTTTGTTTCTAGACAAGCTGTTCATCTTGCTCCGCGACGAACCGAACCGAAAGGCATGATAACAGTCATACTGGTTGGGATTGGTAGATGATTAATACGGTTAGAGAGAGAGAGAAAAATAGCTACGCTTTCTAAGTGAAATAGTATCGCAAAACGTAGCAGTTAAAATGCATGTTATTGAAAATACAGGAAGAAACTAAAAATAGGTCGATCGATGTATTGGCATGATTCTTTTCGTTAAAATGGGGGAGTGTAGCTTCTACAGAGCTAATTTACACCGTGTCAGGCGTAAAAAAATGTTTCCAAGATGCACGACACGTATTGAAATTTTTAGCAAATACGCCGAATGTGGGCAAATCGAAGCAAAAGGTTGTTGAATGTGATCGCCGTAATATAACTGGTAGCTTTGAGAAAAACATTTGTAATGTCTTTTAGCTTCCTCAGTTATCGCACTATCTAAGCCCACAGTGCAACGCCGCGATATGAGAGTATATTCTTGTGGTCGGCTTCTGATTGAGTTGAGAACGAAAATAAACGTGGAACTATCCCAATTTGCGGCCGCTTTTCGATTTTTTTTTTGCCTATTTTTAATGCGGCTTTCATCATTTTCCATCACTACCATCACACGCCTGGCTACGCGTCCAAATTTAGACAAACTTGTGGGCTTTTTGCCATAGCGTATGACTATCCATTCATCTCTATTAATAAAAAAAACATTAGTTTTCTCTAAAATAAAACGAGTTCGATATTGTAAGAAAAAAAACTGTATCATTTTCGGACTTCAAGTGAGAAACAACAGCTATTATCGAATCATCGCGCGCTGGACCAACTCGCACAAAAATAGAAGGCTTCCTTGCTCATAATCGACGGTTTACGTTATTCGCAATACGTTTGAAGAATCTGACAAGGACCTTTATTAAAAAAGTGATAGGATTTTACTCAAAAGGACTTAAAAATTAATTAAAATCACTCATAAAGCCATGTTTGATAGAATTAGTTTTTTGATACAGAAGTAAATGGCCGTTTCAGAACGAAGCATATCAATTGCCAATTTGGTCGTCTTTCTATACATTTGATATTTTCTACGCGTTACCATATGTACGGCACCTAATCAAAAGCTTTTTATACCTAGACTAGTTTGTAAGATCACTTTCAAGTAAATACAGATATCTTAATGAAATTTTCTCACATGTGCTAAAAATGTTATTTGCGACGGTCATATTTTTTCAATATATGGCCACCATTAACCACTATCATAGCTTCAATTCGCGTCCCAAATCGCGCCCAAACAGGCTCGTTTCAAATGTTCCTTTTGTAAATCTGCGAAAGCCTTCTTGGTAGCCGAACCTTGTGAAACTCTTGCTCAATAGCGCTCCATATGTTAGTAATACAACGGGTTAATATCTGGGCAATCCCGAAACGCAGTCGTGTTTACTTGGGTTAATCGGCTCGTATGAGATTGTGTACAGTTTAGTTCAAAGACGTATGGCCTTTTCTGAGAAAGGCTATGCACAGCCGTCACTGGACGCCACATTCGGAAAACTAACTGTGTCTGAAAATTTACTCCTACCAGCAATCATATCAATAAACGTATCCTCTGGATCGACAGAAAACTGTTTGACTATTACGGCCTATGACATCTGCCTCAGGTCCTCGTAATCCGTGACCATATACACTCACTCACATCGAATCTCTCGATCGAAACAAAGAGATCACTGGAAACCCACTTTTAAATGGCAGCAATTGAGATTGGAGTTTAAAAACAACCAAAAGGCTATTTGTTGTGAACTTTGCAGTGTTATGCTGAAATCTGCTCCCGCACCTTCGGCAGCCATGTACTTATCTACAACGTGGCGGACAGGGTCTTTTTTTGCTTAACTCTGAGCCAAATAATCGGACTGACCAATTGTTCTCAAAAGGCAATCTTTAGTAAATTCGTTGCCGACCCAACAGCTCTCTTAGACGGGATGTTGTTGGATTCTAAGCCTTACCATTTCCCCTGTGTCCACCTAGTTTGATCGCTAATTCATATTGGCGTATAGACACAACTTTTCGCCGCCGGTGACAAAGCGTCTGTGCAAAAGTCGGGCATTATAGCCACGTGACGCTCGATACCAGACGAAATACTAAGCTGCCGTATTAAGTCGTAATGGCTTGTTATATCTAACGAGTTCATGAGATCCCAACTATGTGTATTTCTGTTATATTTTTCAAACAAGATTGTTCATGAAGATTCATACATGTTTTCCTGTCGGCGCATGAATTATCCGCTAATCCACTACCAGTCACTTTAGTGGCATGGCCCGACGACGTTTCTTTACAAAAAAGTATTATTACATCTTCTGTTAGCACCGAACCCAAGGCTACCGGTCCGCAGTTCTTTATACGATATGCCCCATCCCCACCCATATCTTCGATTCTTTTCCCATAAAGGCCATCGCCATCATCAATAGCTCCGTGCACACTCACCTATATTCACAAGGGACAGAAGTGACTCTTTCAGCACGCTTTTGCTTTTCCTAGTTACCGTCTTTCGTTTCTATTAAGCAACACAACGGAGCTTGTAGTACACGACAGTTTCAGGCAGCTTCGTCCTCCTAAAGGCGCCACTAGAGAAGGCCGTCATCGGCCTTCATAACCCAAGCTTCTCCCACCCTCGGCCTGGCCCACTGTGTCGGTGACCGTTAGGCCTGGTAGATATTTCGGTTGTGGGCTGCAACAGCACTACCGCAGAGGGACGTTTTGCGACGGGAGGTTGACCAACCTTGCATAGGTACGCAAAGCTACGTTCTAGAAAATGTTCTGTTGATCCTGCTACTTTATTTTTCTCGATGCCCAGCGAAGGTCTGCTATCCAGGTTTTGCAAAGCTACCAATATGCAGAAGTTATCACTGGATATGGGTAGAAGACATGAAAGCACAGTAGTTCGAGGAGACAGTGATCAGTGTGATATGGCGAAGGTTGTGCTGGCAGTGTGGAATGTTGCGACACACTTGAAAGTGATGCAAAGGACTACTGCGCCTTCCGGTTAGCCGATGATAGATGATGTCACTAGCACTCTTCCTTTATTTCATCTTGAGTCGCGTCTCTCCTAAGCTACAGAGCTTTTGCTTGTTTCGCTACTGCTGTTGAAGCCTTTGCCGTTGCAACTGCCCAGACCGTTGTTCGCGAGCCTTGTCGCCGCTTGTCGTTGTAATTAAGTTATGGCCCTCTGGAGGCAACACGAGCGACAGCACTCGTTGCTGATACTGAACTGTGGAACGCGCGAAAGGTAGAAGGTGGGAAATATACAGGGGGAAAGAGCGAGATACATATACACATATATGTAAACAATACGTACGAACCTGTGTTTGCACCAGATAGGGACCCTTACTCAGTAGCCCAAACGCAGCGTCTTCAATCTTCCTAAGAATAATGGTTCGTATCGTATCGTATCTATATGGTCGAAATTCAATGGCATGAATGACATTCGTCTCCGACTGCAAGAATATCGCAACGCATACGCTGTAAAGTGAGGGGTCAATTATTCGTAAACAACTTGACACTAGAGTGCTGAAAAGTTCGGTCCAAAGTCCACAACCCAAATTAGTGCGAGCTGACAAAATTAATACTTGAAAGTAGTGACCTTGATCATGGTAAGTTAACAGGTATGCAAAACACCCGTTATCTAGAGACCAAGGGCTTTTTTTGCACCATTGAGTATATCAATTTGGTAATTTTTGTTTCACAGATAATAAATAAGTGATAGTACATACGGTTGTAGCCTGCTACAATCAAAGCGCATATCGTGAATGACAAACGAAAAACACAACGTCAATTATTTTAAAATAATTGTTTGAGGCACCCACCCCTGTGGCGTGCTAAGTCTCGAATGGCCGTCTAAGATGACCTCCTTCTGTACTTCCTATAACCATCAAGCATGGAACTACCACTATTCGAATATGACGACGGTCTTATTGAGCAACCTGTTCCAACGATAAAATGTTACACAGCCAGCTTTTACCATCTAACGGGTTTAACTGAGCGGTCTTTTTACGATTGGGAAAACGGACAGTTCTACAGCCCGGAGTCTCCTCTAGGTTTGACAGAAACGTACGTTTGTGCTGGACACTAGCGTTGATTAGGACTTAGACTTGAAGCCCGTAAAATGATGTACAACCAACATTTGACCAACTGAAGCAGAATGGCCCTTATAGCTCTCCCTTAGCAAATACGCCAGCAGACCGCTGGTAATTGATGACGCCTGCGGCTACCCGTTACCTCGCTTTACCTGCCAGCCTCACTGCAAAGCCACGCAAAGTTGGTAGTGAACTGTTTAGGCACTGCAGATATCATAGTTGCTTTGTCAGAGAGAAAGAGAGTTGAGATATTGACAGAACTCTCTAATGATTGTACCATAGGCTTGGCAGGCCGCTGACAGCACGGCCCAGATTTCAAGCCAGTAGGTTTCGTATGCTGAGCACCACATCACCCGGACGTAGCCTACAGGTAACAGCATCACATCCAGTCCTTTCTCAGACAACACTGCCGCATTATAACACGTGCGGTTTGAAGAGCGCGCGAGAATCAAAAATGGAAAAGAACTACAAGGGTGCAAGGTTAGAACCCTCTGGCGCTCTGTTAAAGACAGATCAAAAAAGCATAACAGCCTGATCATTATAGCCAGGCTTTTAGACAAAAACTTTGCGATGATGGCTTCGGATGTTAATTATATATTAAGATACAGAATATAATGGAGCTTGATCTTTTCTACAAGGCGAGGTAAAATGACCAATCAATGTAAATGTCTTTTTTTCGATGTTAGCACACTGATGAAAAGTGCATAAAAATATGCGGTTCGTTTTGGGACTTGAAGGGAGACGAATTCTGCTTTCGTATTTATTAAAGGATGGGTAGATATTACTATCTGGTTATATTAGAAGAAACTTTTCTGCGAATAGATTACTCGGCGGAACGATCACAGGACGATATAAATGCTATATATTCGTATTTAAACCAAAGGTCGTTAGTTGGAAACGTTAGACTTAACAAAAAAATGAACCTCGACCTTACAATTTTAGAAAGGATTGGCCGTATATCAACCTCTTGCAACAGCGCCAGTAGCTTTCAGACGAATCGCTCGTTTCCGTTGCGGCCCAACCAACAGCGAGAATGAAACCCATCGGAGTCGCTTCTACATCGCGTTTCCTTAAGGAAATAGTTGCCCTTAATATAGTCGTTTTGAGGCAAACAACCCAATGAAAAACTGTAGTAGCTTCTTTTCCTTTCCCGACGGCTTTCCTGTTAGACGTAACTTCATTTTATCCCACAGTACTGTTAATTTAGGGTCAACTCGTCAAATACGGTTACCATTCATTAAGCTTCTAGAGCTCACATGATATAATTTCTGAGATTTTACTAACTAAATACACATTTAACGTCTTAAATCATAATAACAACTCTCTTGTATCGCTTTTTCTTTGATTTTTTTTTATATATAGGAAAAAGGTGATCAAAGGCGTCGTAATTGGGCCCTCGCAGTAGTTTGCATAATTATACAGGCCAAACAGTTCAGGTTTGCAAATCTTGTATTTCGAATATTTTACTGTATTACGGGATAGCGCCCCAGAAAAAAATCCAGTAGCATGCATAATCTAGGGATCCCAACGAATGCATTTCAATTCGATGCTGTGGATCCATTCCGAGTTTAAAACAAGCGCAGTATGGCAAATTTATAAATGAATACGATAATATCACGCTCAATAATATCTATCGGGCAGAAAACGCCTAAAAGTAACCTAAACATTACCGGATTCTAAAGTCGAAAATTTCACCTCGCAACGGGTCCTACGCGTCATATAAGATGTATCTCACTGAAGATCCATCGACACCAGGCAAAAAAAATTTGAACCTCCTAACGCGAATGACTCAACGTTCAGATCGTAGACAATCTGAGGTAGTGCTAATCAAGCGCATTATTTTAAATGTTTATGCAAACAACGATGCCGAGACCCAACGGTACTCTCACTCAAGCAAGGCGGCCGCCGATTAGGGACGCTATTGCGGCACTTGAAAGGCGAGACATCAGAAACCAGTCAAGCTTACGGTGTTCGGCTGCCATTCTTCGCGATTATTTTCTCTATCTTATGGTCTTTCGGTTGCCGCTATTAGAGGAAAGCGCAAGCGACCGTAATGTGACGACTGACCCCGACGGCGGCCCTCGCGGCCCTCAGCCTTAAGGGTTTGACTCGGCCTTTCAATATCGGTCGGCGTAATACGGTCACACCGTAACCAGGTAGGCAGGCGTCTCGAGCATGGAAGTCCTTAAGCAGGGAGAGTATAACAGTATCGTCCGGAGTAATACTAGGCCGAATAGAAGAATGGTAACCCTTTAACTAGCACCAAAAGTCTCTAATAAGCGCGTCGACGGACGACAGAGAACTGATCTCGAGAGAGCAGTAGAAATAAAAAAAAAATATAATAGTTGGAAGTGAAAATCAAATAGAATGACCGAGGCAGCGCGGAACAACAATGTCGGCGGCCCATCGAATTTTTAAAATAGAAACCAAGAGCCAGAAAAAGGGAAGCTTACCGTAAACACAACACTGGTAGAAACTCGATCGAAAGCAATTTGGTTAGAACTAAGTAGATGATTGTGCACGGCAGTCTTATAGCCGCGTTCGGTGGGGGCCGTCAATGGGGTTGAGAAGAGCTGAGCTATCTTCTCTAAGAATCAAAAAGAGTACAATACTCACCTTCGATACAGGTCCTCGGCTTCCTGATCAACTTGAAGCTTTTTCATTGTTTCCGCGGCATTGACCATAGCAATCGTATTTGTTGGTTCAAGTGCAATAGCTTCCATGTACTGCTCCGATGCCTCTTGGAGACGACCTGTAATTACACGAAAAGCGAACTCAAATAAGCAGTCGGTTAAATCTGTCTCATCTGTAGGCTGGAATACTGTGGTGTAGATATGGTCTGGTCTAAACGCAGTCCTGGTGCGTAGACTGCATTAACCGTACTTTAATTTTAATTGACACAAATCAGGTGTATAAAGTCAATTATTCCCGCTTACACCAAACTCATTTAAATATCGCGACTTCCCTCCTTAGTGAACGAACTGCCGACGTGAAAATGCTCCCGTCTATTGCGGCACGTTACGATATCGTCCAGTGGTCAACCACCCGTAACATCATTTTTGCCACAATGAGTTTATTGTACGTTTGTTTATGCCTGCGTAATACGTCCTGCGACCAACGACACGCGCTCATGCGGCGCCGATCACACTACCAGCACCTTTTCCAGTATCATATCTACAGTCGTATTTCTAATAGAAAAAAAAAGCTTAGATATACCTGTTCAGATTTACTAATATTATCATAAGTATTTTTACTGTGACCTTCGCCTATACACGGAACTAATATATGGATCAATGTATACCCAACAAATATACCCTTGTGACATTAAATAAATATTCAAATAAGCCTATTTTTCGCACGATAGCTCACGTCTCTGCACTGTGGATTCAGGACCAAACCTGATCTGTCGAAACGCACCGTATCTTCAAGCGTTGACTCAGCGTTCGTTTGCCTGATACCAACTGTGGGCACCTCATTGAGCATTTTCCGCGCTTGTTTCGTGACCATCTTTTCCTCTTTTTGGAACTGCTGGCCGCATTGGCCGAGTATTGGCTTTTCTCTAATACTGCACTCATTCTCGATCATTTGTCGAGTATTAGAACGATCGATGAGTCTATAGCATGCAAGCAAACGGCCGCCCTCTGCCGTACCGCGAGCCGGCCCCGGGGCCGAAGCCGTGGCGGATCCACAGACACAGTCGGCACGAAAGTGAGCAAGAACACGTGAGCAACAAAATGACTGCACGAGCAAAGAAGACATAAGGGCATTTACTGAATGGTTCTCGCTGGTGACTTCCTTTGGCAAATCGTAACCCGGCAGACGACCGCTCTAGCCTGCATCATATCGTACAACACTAGCGATCGCTGGATAGCTGCATACTCTTTTCTACTTAAGCTTCGGAGGCTTGGCAGACGTCGCTAGCGAGATCGCGATCGGGTCCACTTCGCCCCGATTACCAATAAACCCTTCAAGCACCAAGTGCAAGCCTCGGAAAGTCTCTCGCCTCCACGCCACTTTAGAAGCATCTCTCGGCGTCTTTCCATAACTATTTCGCTCTTCCTTGTGCAATATTCATACTCAGCTCGCCGATGCCGCCGTCACCGCCCCAATTGGCAGGGTAAAGCCAGCAGGAGTACGCAGAGTGCCTATCTAGGAAAAAGATAGGCTGCAAGCTGTAAGTAGCAGACGCTCGCTTGCTGAGTCTGCGCGCGCGACCCCCTTCGCTGACCATATCGCGGGTCACCGCTATTACCAAAATGTGTTCTTCGCAAGAGGCAAGAAGCAACAAGCGCTCCAACACTAACCTGCTCCCGGCCTCATTGACAGAGACCGTCTGTACCAATGTGGCGCGTCGGCGGACCAACCTGCGTACGCCCCTCGCTATCGAAAATGCCCGCCTCATTTGTTCACCTCCTGTCCTTAAGGCCACTATCCCAGAGACCTGCGGTCCTGCTGACCCTATCACTATGGCTAACTTCCTCATTTCTCCAACGATGTGCCTCACACGGCTCAAAGAGGGCTGAGCTCGTCGTGGAGCATGCATCGTACAAGAGTCCGACGGCGGATGTAGGACTAGCATAGTCTTGAAATACGGACGGTTTAGGCGATTCAGATATGGTATATAGAGATGTACAGAAATAGTCGACACGCATCTGTTTGTGCAACAGTGGCGTCTTTGCTGCTATTCCTGTCGTAGCTTTACGATTATGACCAACAGTGTAGCTCAGTTGGTAGCACATACGGATTCTGTTATTGTTCTAAGCATAAACACATCGTAGGCTAAAGCGCTATTATCTGCTACGTACTGGATCACCCTAATAAGAAACTGACGACATATATGTACGCTTAATGAAGTGGGTAAATGCAGTTCCATTGTGTTATAAAAGCTGGGTGACGGGGCGGCTTCGTCAGTTCATTGGCTCGTTCGTTTGTTCTCAACATGACGCGGAATGAAGGAAACGATTTAGATGTGTGAGCTAGCTATTTGGTTTTTTGTGTATAAGTACTAGGCGCTTTACTATAATACTAATGCCAACAAATGAGTTTTAAAAAGAAGTTTTGACAAACGTTGTGTTTGTTCGAAAAGAAAGTCCAAACTGCTACACACGAATCTGCTGTTAATAAGAAAAGGGAATAAATCAAAAGGCCAAAATACTTGTCCCGCTGATTCAGCCGGGATAGTAAACGAAATCGTCTTGCGCAACTTAGCTGTTGCCGGTTATTAACTATACTAGAGAATGCTCTTCGTTTCTAACAGACATGTTTGTGCCTTTAAATCAAAGACTAAGAAAAAATTAGAATAGTGAAATTTTCGTTTGAACACATCAACAACTCTTATTCAACACTAAAATTTCTTGCCACATGCCACCTTCAACCTCGTCTTGTTTGCACAAGTTTGGTCCTCAACCGGTTGTTTCAAGAGGAGGGAAAAGGTTCGATGTGCTACTCTTACGAGAATTACCTAAACTGTAGGTATAGAGAGCAGTGCATAAATTTGGCCCATATAGACGCAACGCGCTCGAAAATGTATGGTAGCTACAACCTACGAAAACGTTCGAAAGTCAGATGCTAAGATAAGTCAGGATATCTACGTCAGTAAAAGTTTTTAAATGGTAGCTCCTTGAAAAACACATTAAGCCACTGAGGTGTCCACGATTTCAATGTCAATATTTTTATGCAATCAGATATGTTAGAACTATTCCATTCATCTTAAGAAAGCTGGATCTAAAGATGATCGATTATTTCATATCAAGCTACAGCAATATAAAACCGATAGAGTTAACAATCTCAAATGTGTTTCTAATGTAATGGACGAACTGGTAAACTTACTAATTAACTTTAACATAATCAAATAATTTTTCGATTATCCTGCCATGAATGCAAGCTAGAAAAAGCGTAAGCCTTTTGTCGTTGTTATTACACATTTCTTTAGGACCCATTTTTTTCTTTTCAACTATTCGCTTAACCTGAATAGATGTTTCACGTTTTTACCTTCTGTACTACCATGAAGAATTGCTTCAGATGGCTGACCCATTTCAGATAAGACGAAATGTAGCTACTCTCGGTTTCAAACCTAAAACACCCCTCTGCCATCTAAATTCAGACGGTAAACGTGCTACCATTACACTAATGCCGGCTCTACACGCTTCACCTAACGAGCACAAATAACATTAGGCTATGTATTATATAAAATTTCTTGAATAGCTAACGATCAAACGCTAAATACCCATTTAGAAGTTGTTCACATGGATTTTATAGCACAAGAATCTCTAACATTGGGAATATTTCTTTGCCTTTAAGATGTATAAGGTTCAATGAGAATGCAGCGAATTCTAGCTTGCGAACGCATATTTGACAATGTTTGCATGTTTACTTGGACGTAAATAGGAACTTCGGAAGCCTGTCGGAGAGCTTCGGGTGGCATTTAGATCATGCATTTACGGCAGCCAGCGAGCCAGCCAACCTAAGGATTCACATTTCTACTGACATTTCTGTAATCAGCGGAGCATCATTTTTCTCCCTTGGCGCATCGTCTTTCATTACCAAGGTTTTTCTAGCTTCTGGCACCGGCAGAGACTAGTAACCAAGACATCTAGTAGACTGAACGCAGAAGTTCAGAGCGATCAGAAAGCTTCAAGTGAAATGAGCCCTAAACGAGCAACTCCAAATTGAGACCCCACTTTCGCCTCATTCAGCGTAAACCCCTTTCAAGTTCCAAGAACGTCCCCAAGTGGCTCGAATCTCTACTGTCGTTTTTTACCATCGTTTCGGCTGGTCGATGGCTACAGTCAACGTAAGGCTCGACTAGCGACAGCGTTAACTGGTTTCTTTTTCCCGTCAACATTGCTTCGCTCGTCAGACTCCATCCAGCGGAAAAGCCGAAGCTCGATGCGGCTTAAAACTTTAGCTCCGGTAGCAGCAACGACCACCATCGGGACGTTATTTAACTTTCCCATATATTTACGATGTAGCTAACAGCTTTTAGATATGGCTGTTTCTTTTTCTCGTCTTTTTTTGCACGTAAATTAGCGAGTAATATTTCGTTCTTATTAGCATCACCGCCTCATTTCTTGAAATCGGCCTCGAGTCGTCACAAACGAGTTCGTTTTGCATCGTGTCTAAATGAAGGAACTCTAAGGAAACATGTCTGTCATACGGCCGCGCCTCAGAAGCTTCATCGATGTTATCTGCTATAAGACTCATACGTTTCCTTTGAGAGGGGGCGGGGGGGGGGAGGCCGAGTTATCAAATACGATAACGAGACGACATACGGGGGTTTTCCTATAGATTTTCGAAGACCCTTCAAGGATACGCTATGGTGTTTATCTACAAAATGTGTAGTGATTGGTGATTAATTTTAATTATTTCCTCGTTTTTACGTTAACGTCTGATAAGATGTACTCCTGGTCCACTATCTTTTGAAACTACAATTCTCTGTAACCAAAAGTGCCTCTATATGATTTTACGCGAAATACTCTCCAAAGAAAAATTGAACCTTGTCTAAATGCGTTGAAGCAGTGCCCCATCCTTCTTCAAAAAAAATCCAATTATTCTACAAAGAAGAACTCGTTTCAGCAAGCTTGTCCTGTTGTCCTATACATCATCCACAGGTAACATGTTCTGCTTTACCTGCAACATGTGTGCCGTTTCATATCATGTAGTATATTGAAAATGCTTGGTGGAATGAAAAGAGAAATCACAACGCTTCGCAGCGCTCCCACTAGATTCGAACCTAACACGCGCCACTAGTAGAAATCTACCTGTGCGGCTGTTTCCAAATCTGTTATCACAGACACTTCTACAAGCACAAAACTCCAAAGATTTATTGAATGCGATGTAGTACCATGACAATACTAATAAAGAGCCAGCCCTTCCTTTAGCCATAGATAAGCTAGAATCCTGGCACGACTGTAACCGATTGTAAAGAAGTTTGCGAACGACTGCATCATATTTCCTAACGCTTTATAGTCCTTTATCAAGTTCTTTCAGCTGAAAAAAATAAAGCTAACTTCCTCGTAACATTATTCATAAAGTTTCAACGCAAAGCCGATAAAGGTCCTGATCAAACCGTGATGCATTTCTTTGTGTAGATATAAACAACGAATTATTTTGAGACTACGAATTGTCCATACTCTCCTTTCTGTGCTTCTTACTGCATTAATATGGCACGATGTATTTTGTTCTGTTAGCACAGAACAAAATTCCTCTAGTGTTTCGACTTTTTGTACACTGTCCGTATCGTTCTTCACTCAGGTGAGAGTTAACTTTCGAAACTCGACGCCAGCTCGTACTCCCTCCATGTACGAGCTTTGGCGACCAACTGGCCAACAACTTGGTTAGCTGGCGAACATGGGCGTCGCATCTCGCTTTTGCTAGTAGTTCTTTAGACCAGAAAACACTAGAGGGGTCCGTAGAGAAAGCCCGGAAGCTCCATTAATCACCCCCCTATCAGCTGAGCAGACGCCGGCCTTGCTGGACCGTACGCAAGGTACGGGTGAGCTGTACCAATGGGCTGTGCTCCACCACTAGAGCGCCGTCTCTTTCCTGCTATTGCACCACAGTTTCTCTTTACCCCAAAAAGAGAACCAGAGTGAGTTGCCACTGCGGGCATTTGTTTGTTGGCGGATAACCAGTTCCGCCATTTCCCTGTTTGCTCATTTCCCTCACCCTTACACTTACACAGCTTCCACCTGAGAGTTGTAGCCACCACTGGCTGCAAAAGCCCAGTTCGTTTTATTCTTCGTTACTAGCAAGCTTTGCGTTAGTCTATTGACACTGCTTTGCCTTTGTGCTTTGTTTGGAAGTCGACCTGCCTACACAACGTTATAGCCACACTATTCCCATCTTGTCGAGCCACCAGCCGTCGCCGGTAGCGGTACAAGCTAACCGACGACGGCTACGACTGACCAACAGTCAGCTTAGCGAACCGTGATTCACTAAAGAGAAAGCTAGTTCGAGGTGAGGGCCAACGATACACTCCTCTTATTATAGCGGTAACAGATTTCTGCCGTACCGATCGGTGCATCGGTGAGACGACTGGCCGACTCACCGGTCCCGCTGACATCACGCTTCGACGGAATGGATGGCCCGAAACTCCTGTTGAAGTCCGCCGGCGGTGTAGCCGGCGGCAGGAACTCCGGCCGCATTTCGCGCTTGTAGGTGGTAAGTGGAGATTGCCAGCTCCGCCTTTCATTGCTTTAGTTCTTTTCTCCTCGTACCACCGTCCCTCTGCATCGCTTCTGCTGCCGATATAACTGCTGTTGATGTCGATGCTGTCAGCTTACCATTCCCTGGGTTACAGCCAGCCGTTGCCACCACAGCAGTGTTCGGCCTTTGCTTCATCTCTCTTAGCTTTTTTTTTATGTATGATATCTTTTGGCAAGTGCCGCAGTAGCGCTACTGGCTATCCAGCATCTTTAAGAGCTGCCAGTACTACTTCTACATAGCGACCCACGCAACTTTCGCAGGCAGCTTTAGGCGTCCAGTCTCCATATTGGGGCAGGTTCCTAGGCCCTTCCTTACGTCGTCGGACGGAACCAAAGTGAATGCAGCCGTCGCCAACAGCAACAATGGATGAAAAAAATAGCCAGGCAACCAATACGGCGCCCGCTTATGCTGTTAGTTGGTCAATGGCTGCTGCCCAAGAGGTTTGTCGGTATTGCGTCAAGGGGAGTCGTCAAGAGAGGCACGGGGGGTAGCAATGGGAGGTAAACTAGAAGGATCGGTACGATAGTACAAAACAAGTGCCTCGACTACTCGGATGTTACGATAGCTGATGTGGCGCGGCCGAATATGACTAGCAGCGCTAGAGCACACGTCTCCTAAGCCTTAAGAAAACTGAGAGAAATGCCCTCCACGTTCATTGCTGGGAGATAGAAAAATATGTAGGTCTCGGCAGGCCTTGAGTTTTTGAAGAAAAAAGGAAAAAGTCATATTGAAAAAAAGAGGAAGATATCATTATTCCCTATATGGATACAGGTAAATGGTGCTTTGCATAAAACTACAATAGTGGCTTACTTTAGATTAATCGTTCCGCTCGGTAGAATCTTTTTTGGCAGGGTTCACGAATTACTAGTGTGTTCTGGTAATACGATAAAGACAATAAAAATACAATAGACATAAAAGGCTTACAGACTACAACGACTGTGTCTCAATACACCAACTAACTGTTGCTATATATAGATAACTCACTGAAAAAAATGTACTGGAAAACATGCATCACAGTTTGATAAACAGAGTTATCATTTAGTTCTCAATGCCTTTACCCTAATTATGTTTTTAAACTTGTTATGTCTCCATTTTCTTGTTATATGTATAACAAACCCGATAATTACTGCATCTTTTCCACTTACCCTGATGGTGAAGAAAAGTTCCATAATTATTTCGAATAGGAGCAGAACGACCGTTAAGTTCAATGGCTCGTCGATGCAGCTTTTCCGCTTCGTTGGTTCGTCCACGTTGACCCTCGAGTTCCGCTAGGGACGAGGCCGCCTCCGCCAGGGACGCGTCCAGTGCTAGCGATCGCTCGAGAAGTCCGCGCGCTACCTCAACTTGTCCTCGTCGCCTGTTTAAACAGAATTGGGATGAGATGAAGAACGAGAGGTGCGGAGTGTTGCAACAGCATATACTTCTCTCAGATTTCTCTGAAATTTCTTCAAGAAAAAGCAAATTTCCGTAATAACCATTGTACATTCAGTGTGCATTCAAGGAACATTGCATATAACGATTGCAGGTCGGACTGTACCTGTAAAGCATGGCGAGGTTATAATGGGCCCCAGCATGGTGTAGATTAATATTAATGGCTTTGCGGAAATGCTTTTCAGCTTCTGCTGTTGATGTTAACACCGTGCCAAGGTTGTTATGTGCCGACGCATGGGTTGGACACAGCCTGAAATTGTAAGTAGCGCATGTATGAATAGCAACTATTAACAAGTGTGTTGCTCCCGTATACATTTATATTAGGTTTTAACCTACTAGCTATGACCCTATACAGCCTGTAACAATCATCAATCGTAGAATACGTGTTCAATTTCTGTCTTTTGTAATCTGCCCGACTGATATGTTTTTCCTTTTTTTATGTTTCTCTACTTAATCTCTATTTGAAACATTATATACATGTGTAATTATGCATGATACTGTCGTAGTGTCGTGCTTCATATCGCAATCAGGCTCGTTCTTTTCTGCAGGCTTCGAAGTAAAATATGATACGTTTAAACCATTTATCCTAACCTATCTAAAAAGCACGTTAAATTTTAGCAACGATGTTTGTAATATGTATTTGCATAGCTTTAGCGCACAAGGTAAAAAATAGAATAGTCGTTCATCCACATCAGCTATATAAAGGAACAAATAAAATAGGTGCAAAACTGCTGAAATATCATTTGAGTATTTTAACATATCAAAAAGCTGCCATCGTGACGTTTAGGTCAACAGGTTCTGGTAAACCAGTGTCCATAACATCGTAGCATCATAATCCAAATATTAATTTTTTACTGCAAAAAAGATAAAATATTAAAATGATCAACAAGTTCCACAGTACGTAATGATTAATCAATTCAATCAATAAAATATCTGTAAAAGTCTATGAACTGACGACACCGAACGTTATCAGCGCGCAACGCCACAAGTTTCTGTCCCAATTTGACCACCTATGCTATAACGGTGTCCTGACCCGCAAAGAAATCCAGGATACGTTTCGCGGACGTCGAGTGGTTCTTTAAGTTTCGAATTGGGAGCAATAGTAGTTGCAGTGGCATCAACAGTGAAGCAAGGCAAGGCCAAAAAAGGTGGACCAGAAATCGTGGCCTAACAACTGCCAGCGGCGCTGGACACCCCTAGTTTCTCTATCAACTTCATAAGTGGGCACGTTCCGCTGGTCGTTTCTTTTTTAGCGGAACATCGTTTCGGCAACCTCGCCACCACGAATCGCAGCTACTTCCTCTGGTACATTCACCTCAGGTGGCCGTTTCACTTGTCCGAAGTGGCTCCGATTGAATCCTGGTTGCAAGCAGGCAGAGCTAACAGCCAGGTTGACCCAACAGCGCGCTGCTCTCCAAAACTGAACAAGCTTGCGGCAAAACTGGAGAAGCTGCACGAAGGACAACTAAGACAGGAGGAAGTAGCAGACCTTGTGGAGTGCTGTGTTGACCTAGTGGTTCCCCAGCGGTGGCAGTTAGGTCAGAAGGGCAAACGAAACAGGGCATGGGGCTTCATGTGATTCAGGAATGAAGGAAAAGGTTAACGGGAAGACCAGGGACAACCGATGGTACAGGAAGGTTTTTCTTCTCAAGAAGAAGCTACTAATGGGAAGTAGGGATGACCTGCAAAAGAATAAAGAATTGCAGCACCGCAAAGGAGGCCGACAAGAAAGATGAGGGTAAGGAAGATAGAAGGCGAGGGGAAAGCGTTGAAGGAAATTAAATTTAAAGATTTTCGCGGCCGGTTGATGGCTTAGTCCGGCCGATGCCACACCGCGGGCCGTCGTGAGATCGCGGATTGAGAGGGGTTTTGAAGGTTAGGCTCAATCCCTGTCAAGTCTTCCCGTTCACACTGCTCTCTATTTTCTCCGTGCGCTAGTGGAAGGTGAAGAAGCCGCGTTTCGTAAGTTCAAAGACGGCCTCTCCAACCACGGGTCCCAAGAGGCATCCCGATGTTGTTGTTGCTGCAAAGATATTGTGCTTTAGCTGGCGGCCGTGAAGACTGAGTGAGCAGATGGCGTTGACAACATAGAGAACAGGATGTTGTGGAAAGGACTCTAGGACTAGTTTCAGACAAAGGACTGGCGACTTGGCTTCATAGGAATCAACTGCTGAAGTCTAGATGCTTAGTAGCTAAATCCAAGTCAACTACAGGCGGCTTTGCGGATTTGTGGATATGCGGTAGGAAACAAATTGCATTCAAGCAAATACATACGTTAGTAAAGTCGTGTATGTAATTAGGCCAAAGTACGGAGAAATTTTACAGCGTACACAACCGGGTTGATGACTAGTTAATTTCGAGATTAGTGCTTCGTGTCATTCGATTAAAGTTTGTTTATAGATGGCTTGGAACGGGGAAAAGTTTCCCCTACGAAAGCTGGCGTTTTGTATCGCAATATGCTGAAGTCACGTTCATCCCAAGAATGGAGGGTCAGAGAAATTTATCGCAATCCGTTTGCATAGGTTACGATTGTTGTACAGTAACTATGGACGTGTAAGATCGTACTGCGGAAAGGGCTCGGTTGTAGCGTATGAGATCGCACTGGATTGGAGCAGTCGTAACACACGTGCCCTGAAAACACCTAAGACTGATAATACACGTGCCGTTGGAGTCATCAATGCTCCGTTCATTTTGTTTGCTTCTGTTCGTTTACGTATGAACTTAACGTATTAAAGGTATGTTGGACATTCAGAATAGGATTTATTATAGGAAAATTAGCGTTTCGAAATATGAACATTTATTTTTAATTATCCTAGCTGCTTCCTTTTTGAAATCAAATGATGCGATAGATTGTATCTAATTTTAGCCAGCACGGAGCGATACGACACGATTACGCCTTGGTCCAGCTCCAAAGTGCCTCGTGTGTGTCGAATGTGGCAAACAATGAAAGTAGAAGTTACCCACATGTAAGAAGGTATAAAGTATTATAGAATGATATATTTAATTAATTAACACTGTTACAAATATAATAAACAAAGCTGTCAATATGCAAGCAACAGATGCAGATGCAGAGCAGATGTCTTAAATGAACGTGTGCCGCAGCGTAAATGTCTCAGTTACTCGACATTGGTAAGGGTAAGTATGCCGCGTGGTTTTGTATACTGAATGTGCCGACATGGCTTTAGCTAGCAGGTAGCGATTTTATCGGGCGATATTTTGACTTTTTAACATTTTCAGTAAAGATTTCTTAATGTATTTTAGTAAAAGAGGACGAGCTTTTTGTTTGAACCGTGCCTCATTATTTGAAGAAAAAATGTCAATGCCTTATTGTAGTGTCAAAGATATTTTCTGCGGATTTCTGTGTATATATTTATGTTTCGTTTTTTATATAAAGTTCGTATTTCATCCAATCAGGAATACATTTATTTGCCTTGCATAAATGTATATATAAATATTCAATTTCGCTATAAATATCGTACTCGTAAATTCATCACATGTTTCAGCCTATTACAAGATTAGTTTCAACTGCTACAAAGGCCGCCAGGGCAAACCAGCCTCTTTATCGATATGTTATCATTCACTCAGCGTTTCGTCGACATGAAAAGAAGGTATATTATAGGATTTTTTTTGCCATGTTCTACTTCGAAGATTATTATATTGAATGTTAAGTGTACCATATAATTCTGTGTTGTACCTTCAAAAGCAGGGCATACTGTGGAAAATTAAATTGAGTACGTGCACATTGCTCTGGGAGAATAAGCCACTCTTCTACACATATAAGTTGAATTTCCCGGAGCGAAAATGTACAGAGGGAGCTAAATCAGCAGCTAATCAACAGATAGCCTTTTTTGATGGTAATAAAGTAAGCAACTAGGAATTTTTAATCCTGATTTGTGCAATTGCATTGTAAGTATACAATTTTGCAGCATAAAAGGGTGAGTATAGTTTAGTGTTCGTTATCTGATCATACCTTCTGCACACGGATAGCAATAAGTCTACTTTTTACAGAAGCCAAGTAAAAACTATTTTTGATCGACAAAACGTGAGTTTCTTTCATTTGTATAATGACTCCATAATAGCATTAGGAACTGCTTAAGAAAACTGATACTGCCTAGCCATGCTAACCCCATCCCAATTTTTAGTTTTATCTTAGTCAAAATTGCGGCTCTTCCTTTTCTGCTCAACTTTCTTATTTACCGTAGTTTCGTATCGTGTTTTTTTGTATATTTTTTGCCAAAAATAAAATTTAATGAGCTAGACACGATAAGAAACCGGTCGCTAGTCTCTGAAGCTTTGTCCTGTCGCATTCGAAAGTAGAAAAAACGTATGCTTATCCTCCGGGATACGCTGAGCCGATGTTATGTGAACCGGAGCATACTACTTCCACGCTAGCTCTTTTTGTCGAGGAACATTTCTGCCTTGACACCCAAATAGCATTCATTTTCTTGAGAGCAAGCGCCTTTCTTCTAGTAGGCACACAGGCAAGCCCACTTCACTGTGCATGGCGTTATTCCTGCTATCAAAAAATAAGAGCCAAGAAACACAGCAGCAACAAAAAGCCGCAGCAACGGAAGCTACAGACGCTGGCAGGCGCAAAAGTGGGTCATTTTGCTTTGCGTGATTTCCACCTCGAAGCTTGAAACGTCAGACGACGCGAAGCTATGACAACGTCGGTAACAGTCGAGTTGATGGCGGCGTGGACAGGAGGGTACAACGGGAGCGCAGCTGCTCCCAGCAACATTAACCTTCACAGGAAATCTAAACATGAGCAGATACTAGATAAAACACAGGTGGTAGCACCACCACTTCTATAAGTTAGTGGTGTAATATTTGTAGCGACAGCCAGTCATCGTGGCCAAACCCTGTGCTATGACCAATGGAAGCAACCAAAAAAAAGGAAAATGGGCGTGGGCAGACGTTAACAAAACGCAAAAGAGAAAGTCTGGTTTTCTTCTGACCCCTGCATCCGAGTCGACGGAACCGTTGTCCGTTCGCTAGCTAACCCGCTTCCTGCTTTTGCTCCTTCCCAGCGTTGCTCATTTTGCCCCCTTCTCAATTCCTTCTTGCTTCAGGACTGTGCAGACGTTAGAAGAGAAGCAGAATGCCCTAGAAACGGAAACCCGATAAAAAGGAACTGATTTACTGGACCATGGGAAGCAGGCAGATGCGTGAGTAGCGAGTAACTGGTCGGCCGGTTGGTCTCGGTGCCTCGGCAAAGGTCGTTGTTCTTCGGTGTGACCGACTAGCTATAGTACAGCAGTTGGGTTGGTAGCCAAAAAAGGACTGGACCTATGTTCGCGTCTATTGGAGCAGACCGAATGGAGACCGCGGCAGTACAGCCAAGAGTACAGCAACCTTCGTCAGGGTCGGTACTTGCTCGTCTGATCAGTGGCCATTTCCGCTTATAAAGAGCACAAGAAGAAAAGCGAAGTCTCTAGGGGTAGCGAGTGATACAGACGAAGGACTAAAGTGCTACGAAGTTGCAGACTCCGTTAGGTTAGGTGAGGTTATGCGAGGTGCGAGTCCATGCCAGCGGTTACCATCAGTCCCGTCAGTGCCCAAGTATTCGACGCAGCTCAGAGTTCGTGAGCAGGAGTACGCGAAAAAGTTGGAACAGAGATCTTCGTCGACGCTGTCGGTAGTGTAATATAATGCGCAACCTTTGCAGACGCCGCCCCGGGGCGATTGAAATAGGGGCAACAGAAGGAAATTGTTCACGACCCGCTTCGCTGTCCTCAGTCTTACGGCGCCTAGACATGGTTCCTGGCTATAGGCCAGCTGGTTCATTTTCCAGTGTAGCTGTGTTGTTGTTATGGGCCCACTGTTATTGCTGCTATCTCTGTGGCAGCTTCGCCACAGATTCGAAGGGAAAAAGTTAAGATAGATTGCTGTTGGCCGTCTCTAACCGTGAACCCGTAAGAGACGTTAAAGTCAGTCGCGTTTCGACTTTTGGTCTCCGGTCGAAGCTCAAGTGGAGCATTCGTAATAACTGTAATAATCTTTTGCGTTATCTCCCAAGCGCTTCCGTCGCTCAAGCAGAGATCTTATATCAACGGTATCATGCGGTATCTATGTTATAGCATTTAAACGTAACTGTCATAAATGTGGGTATCCTTTTAGCTAGACTTGTGGTAGAGGTTGTCGACTTGAGCGCCAACGTTTTACCATATAATTCGTTATAGTCCTCAGTGTATGTTGACAAGCAAATTATTAGAATTGCAGGTAAATGGTGTATCTCAGAAAACGAGAAGTTGCAGGAAAGGCTATGTAGAATCTTCAATGATATCTGATATATGTACCTCAAGGACTTACATGACGCATGTCGGGGAGGAATATGGTAATCAACAGACATGAAGGTATTTGTTGATTTTACCAATTTTCATTTTGTAATATTTTGGAGCTTGTTGGGGGATCATGAATGGAGACTAACGTATTATTATCAAATATTAGAAAAATAATTTAAATAGGTGCCTTTAAGTTTGTTTATTTTTGAAAACATTCTAATATTGTCGGCAGATTTCTAGCAGATTGGACGCAGGCAGCCACGGCAAAATGACCAGGGTAGCGCTAGTCAGTATTACGTGGGAGTCAACACACATTATGAACAACTAAAGGTACTGTTTGTGCGTGATGGCGCATTGGTTTGTTTTTGCCTATTAAAGCTATAGATGCATACGGTTCGAAACCGGCCGCAGACGGACGTCTGGTTTCGCGCCTTGAGGGATCTGTTTTTTGAACAACATTAAACTCAGGCAGTAGCACCGGATTCAAAACATTTATTTTTGTTATTGCGTACACTTACTCGAGAGCAATTTTGTAATGACGCTCCGCCTGACCACTTCGACCAAGGTCTCGTTGAAGGTTTCCATAATTATAATGCATTTTACAGTTCATTGGCATTTCCCGAACGCCAGACCTGAAAAAGCAGATTATTGATCAATGGTGATTAATGCCATTTAGTCTTAGGAAATGTACGTTATATATATAATTTGACATGATGGCTAAAATCACAAGAGGAATCGAGGCCAAAAACAGGAGCAAAAAGTCTAATTTTGCCTTGCCTAAGAGCCCCCACCTTGATCTGTATTTTTATTATATTTAGCAATCTATTTATTAAGGCTGATGAATGATTTAACTAGTCCTGTACGAACTTGGGCTAAGATCAGGAATTCTGAGTATGTTTTATAGAAGCAATACCCACTCAAATAAGGTCTCCCGGGTCATCCAGACGCGGTTTCGGCGTACCGTCCGTACCGTTCCTAAACAGAGCAGGATCAACAGCGCCACTAGAACGAACTTTTGTTTACGATTCCACGTGTTTCGACGACCACTTCTTTGTTGTTGAATTATTGAATTGCGTACTGGAGACGCGGTTGTGGACATGGCCGTGATGTCCTGCAGGTGAAATAACAGGCGACGAAGGCCTTCGACAAAAAGGAGACAGAATCCCATACTAGGAATATAGAGAACCCGTTCGGCCAGAACAAAGCCAACGGTTACTAGCAGATTGGACGCAGGCAGCCACGGCAAAATGACTAGGGCAGCGCTAGTCAGCAACAAAGGACTCCCTCCGTCAGCGCTTTTTTCTACGACAGAATCACATCCTTTGTCGGCGCTATCATCTAGGTGGCGCTGTTCTGCCATCGTCGGACTTCCTGATGCTCGATCGTGGCTGGCGCTGTTGTTGTTATTGTTGTACGTCGTATGATGGACATCCGGCTGGTCCACGGACTTGCCAAAATCTGACCGCATACCAACTTCTTCGGCAGTGCAGGAAAATAGTAACTGGAAACTTTTGTGCACGGTTCGTCGTACCAGTTGTACAAGGACGACGACTAATATCACCGTGCTCAAGTTGCGCACGTCCAACAGCGAGTGAACCAGCGGAACTGATCCCGCCTGCCAATCATAGGATAGTACCCGTGGCCAGAGTACCACGCCGGCGTTCATTGCGGCCAGGTAACCGTACGTGAGCGCCCTGAAACAAGATGAATGGATGCAAAAATTAAAAGCAAGAGGTTAGCAACTGTGCCGCGATAGGCCTAAAAGAAATAATAAAAACGTGTACATATATACCTAGCTAGAATTTCAGACTATACGACCTTTGCATCAGAGCTCCCACAGAATTATCCTACTGTGGCTGGGTGATCTTTGCTTCTTTTCCTATTAGTGCAACTACCCAGTGAGTTGATAGGCCTTACGTGCAGCCAATTCTGCAACGTTACCATGTGGCCGGGTCGTTGTCATGAAAGCAAAGTCGCGCTTTTTTCCAACGGCTGGCTTATATTTCGGACACCCGTGTACTGACACTTAGTGGACTGAAGTCAGGGCCTGAATCAGGGGCTTGACCCAAACCACACATTCAATTAGGAGTTCTCATCATCGTCGCGAGAGAACCGTCGAGAAGCTGAAAATGGAAGATCCCCCTTTAGAGTAACCTCAACTCTAAAATCTAGACAGGCGTTTTCCGAAATCCCGTAGGTTTCTCATTCGATTGTAGGACACCTTTATGTCGACGCGATCGCACGCTTGTTGCGTGAAAATGGTTCGCAAAACAAAACTGTACGAAGAAACTAGGCACATATTGATTTCATGACTTGGCGATTTCCATTCTTGGCATACTACGGCTCTGTTTTTGACTTCCGCAGTCTGCAGAGATGGGGGTTGGCATATTGGCAGCTCATACTGCAACATCGTTTCGTTTCCCATGCATTGATACCCCTTATAGTGTTACACGACGCCAGACGAATCGCATTAGACAAAGGGACAGTCTGGAGCAGACCAAGCTAACTATACAAGCGTGACACACGTGACTATAATGAGCACCCTCTTTCGTATGTCCCCCCAAATACGTTGTCGTGGCATTACTGCAACTCGGGAATGTCGATCAAATGATCGAGAAGAGGGACACACCAAGAGTGAACATCGAGATCAACCACACCATCAATGCCGCTTTCAATAACAGTATCTGCCTACATAAAACTGATTTCCGAATAATGTTGGACCATTGTACATTCGGTCTATCATACAACGAAGTCATATACATATCTCTAATGTAAATAAAAAAGACCATGTAGTTCGAGGCGCTAATAGATACATGTTGAAGGAGAATTATTTCAAAGTGTTTCTGAAAAAAAAAACTTTCAGTTGAGACTTGTTTGATGTCCAAAACGTTATGTGAATTGTCAGTATTCTATTATGAGTTGAGCCTAATAGCGCTTTTCAATATATTAGATAACACTAGATTAGGAATCAAGACGACAACTACGTCGTTTAGGACGAAGGCGCAATTTCGAAATAATTCTCATCCAAACGTATACTCTGATTTGATGCACCGAAAGCGATTCTGCACATTGTCTCGTAATTCCAGCCACCTTCCAAATATCCGAATGGTCGTATGCCGGCAATCTAAAGCATATAAAATATAGTCAGTTCTTATCGAAATTTGCTGTCAGCTTTGAAAACTAGAGTTGTGGAAAATACAGTATTTCCCAAGTTCGCGAAGCACCTGAGTGCTGGTTCGACTGGCAATCTTTGTGCTTGGAGGTAAATGCGACAAACGACGAGATTCGCGGAAGAAAGTCCTGAAGTTGTGAAAAGGAATCAAACAAATAAGCCAGGTAGTTGTCGATTTCTATGGTAAATGTAGTAAAATATTCTGATATTATTCTCTAGTGACTGCGAAGCTTTGTCCAGATGTCCATAAATCGGGTTAGGTTTTACGATGGAGTGCTGATTTCGCCAGCTGGCCCTAACAAACAGACGATCGACGTCGAGGTCTGGCGCCGATGTGGACACAAACAAGAAATCGACCTACAAGTAAATAGGACCTAAAAAGTACACATCTGTCGCAGCAAAGGAAGGAGGAAGTCGGCGAACATCCGGAACGTTTCTTTAAGCATTGTATTCTGCAATGTGTCTACGTGAAACATAAAGTTAAGGTCAATCACAAAACCAAGCTGTGGTCTAGACAAAGGTCATTGAGAATCTACATTACAGCGCCGATCCCCGTTAGCAAATTTACCGTTGTATTACTCGCTGTGCATAATTGTAGTCGGATCGTAATGCTATGACAACGATCATCAACGCTGACTTTCAAAGCAGTGGCTGACTAGTACGGTAATTTGCCTCCCTTCGTTAGCGGTACAATCGACGAAATCGCCAATCGAGCATCTAAAACTGGCAGCGAAAAAGTTCACATGATTCATTGCATCAGATATCCCTTGATTTAACCTTGGGCTAAAGCTTCTAGTGGTTGTTTAACTGTGAATGATACAGACACCTCTTATACTGTTCCTGGTAATTTCCGAGATGGACTCGCGCACGAGTTGTATGCCACGAAACCGTATAACTACCCTATTGTTTTTTCGTCACCGATCTAGCTACTTTCTATATTTTTATTCGTAAACTGTACCCCCGCTTTTCTCCTCGGCAGTTTCATCACCACCAGCTTTGTTTTTGCTATTTCCAAGGAATCACTCGTCTACACCTTTCTATCCAGGCGGTTAAGTATAATCGAGCACCGTTACGAAGCAATGTAGAAGAACAAAGGGAGATGAACATACGCACATTCACACGCACACATATATGTATATTTATAACACAAAATGGCGGTTGTCCGTTACTGCATTTGGGAGCTGTCAGCCTGACTGGCTGAACAGCCGATATTGGAATTGCAGCTAACCGCTTGCGTTTGGCCTGTCGAAGTTTATGGTGGATTGCGGCACTGGCCGTTCGATCAGCATCCCTAGTAGGGTGCAGCTACCGAGGAAACTCGACTGCACAGGGTGCACAGGTAGTGGAGGTCCGCTGCGCGTACAGACAGATCGAAACACACGCACACGCAAGTACGTTCTCGAATGTTCTTACACATGCGATGGTCAGTAGTTAAACGAGCGCGTTGAAGGCAGATCCAAGGCGACCCGATTGAAGCTTATAAATGATTGTCGTTGCTGCTGCTGCTACTGCCGCAGCTGGAAAAGAAACCACACTTGTGATTACCTCTAGATCTAGACCAGCGGGTTTCTTTCGACCTTCACAACGTTCGTGGTTCGGGATAGGGATGCAAGGCAAGTAAGCGGAACCATGCGTGACTAGCAGAGGCCCGTGGAGGTAAACGCATGGAACTCTATGAAGGACAAGGAAAAGCTGTGGGTAAAATTAGGGGTTGCGTGGGATTTTCAGAACAATAGTGTATGTCAGTCGGAAAGCCAGACACGTTATTTTCAACAACGGCTGTGGCAACCAGTTTTGCTACGTAACGTGTACCACTGTGCATCTATGCGGAGAGCAATATGTCGACTCTACCTGTTGACGTAGTGAAGGGCAAATCGAGTTAACACAAGGGCACGCCCGGCGGATGCAATTTTGAACGTGACCACTAAAACTATTAAGCAATAGGCCGCCGTGTGAAGGGTAACTGGCAGATATAAGTAATTTTATTCTCACCTTCTTGACCTACAAAAGTCTACATGTGTGCACATATAGGTAGGATAGGTAGGTGCACATTTTCTATAGGATATATAAATATGTACGCATCATGGTTCACTTTATTTTATATCAAGTTATGGCAGTGATGAATTTAGCGAACCATATATATATATATATATATATATATATATATATATATATATATATATATATGTAGAAAGAATGAAGGAAGGAAGAGAGAGAGTAAACCCTCCCAAGTTAGACAACAGACACTTGGTAACATAGTTTTTGAAGATTATATACACAGTTAGAGTACAAACGACACACCCAACGTGTTGATAATAATTCAAATAATTCTGCTGAATAGCAACAAATTCGACACACTCACATACACTGTTCATAGGAAACACGCGCGGATATTGATGTGGAAAGGCTGATTTTCCGGTTGAGTGTCTATATCTCGCTGGGATCTGAGGTTCTAATTCTCTCTCATCCTCTTATTGTGGTGCCAATGCGGTGAGAAGCTTCGTTTTTCTTACTTCTGGCTGTGAAGAATCTCACACGCGTTTATACGGTGCCGGCGGGGAGCCGCACCTGGAAAAGGCAAAGACATTTATAAGGATTAGGCGTCTCGAGGGTCTACCACCGGCAGCAATCTCATCGCGATCTTGTAACGCTGTGACGACAGGCCGTGGGCCTCAGGCCCCCGAAACACAGACCGATAGCCGAATTGGGCCTTGTTTTGTGCCAAGCTTACCTCAGGCTTATCCTGAAGGGCCAACAAGGCTTCAGGGGTTCTGCCGACGCAGACCGGATAAAGTAGCACGTTTTTCCAGACAAGGCAAGAGGAAAAAAGGAGAGCTAACCAAAGAAAAGACACCAAACAACAGGCCACATTTTTATCAAACAGATTATACCATACACCGCCGTCTTCCAACGCCCTGCGCCGTGTTCCTTATTCCCGAGTTTTGCTCTCTATGTGCATAACGACGTAATACTACTGACGTTTTTAACTTCTGGTATTACCAAAAGGTTCACTTAAGTGAAGCACTTCGGGACCGCCACGCTTATTGCCCGCACAACTACTAAACTTTCGCAAAAATACTTATTCGGTATAGTTGCTCTATCAAAAAGGGTACTAGAGTCAAGTCTGGTTTCGTTGCGTTAAAGGAACAATATGTTTGTAACGCAATTTGCTCTTTGGGGTTAACGCAAAGGAGGAGTTGTTCGACTTATCAACACATTACGTAAAGCGAAGCTACGTCAGCATACTGCTGTTGCTGTCTGTGGCAATTATTTCGTCCATTCTACATATACGACCTAGATGTCCTGCAGGCAACGCAATTGCCTACATGTATTTCAAGTATAACGATAATTGCCGGTAGTGCCGCAGTATAATCGTAGATAAGGTATTACGCATAGGTCTGCTCGTACGTAGATATGAGCGCGCTGTCTTATTCCTATTACAGAAGCGTCGACCACTTTCCGGTAGTCTCTACGGGCCCTCCCCAACAGGACATGAAAGGCTTTAAGCTCGACTTAAGCCTTGAACGGCACAGAGGACCAGGCCGATAACCACACACTGTCTCGCTGACTCTATAACTCCCTCGCTTGTACGGCCGGGAAGCAACCTCCCTTCTCTAACAGAATGGTATCGTACATCTACCGCAACAGGGACTAGCTTCGGCCAAGAATAGGTAGTCAGCCAAATGCGAAGCCAGTAGACACCATAGTATTGGTTGGTGGTGACGATAGCATAGTATTACCAGAACGATAGTATCGCAGTCAATCCACATAGTCTCGAAAGTGAGCAGCTCTCCGAGATATGGCTACAATCAACGGAGACCCTGGGGGTAGAGTGCGTAGGGGCGACACTCCAGCCGTGATTGCAAGTGAATGCAATAGTTAGTGTCGTACTGTACACCGTTTCGAGTCGGCTTTGTTGTTCGCCGTTGCTGTCGTCGCATGGCACCGGCATCACCCCCGCTACGTTCGTTACTTCCTCTTTTACTCCCTTCCGTTCCACTTTCTGCAACTTCAACCACGTACATAATCTCAACAGGCAAATCCCAAGCCTATGTGGCGTTTGGGATAACCGGTTAGAAAGGCACTTTGCCTCCGGCCGTCCCCGCTTGCATTGTTCCCCAACGAGACGTCGAGTTTCAGCTCCGGTGCAGTAGGAAGACTCGCTTTATGGAAATGACCACGACTGCGTTTTGGCATATGTTTACGTATATAACAACAGAACAACGAGATCAGCGGTACTAGCCCGCTGGTGGCGTACTTATGTATAGACGACTGCATTGCAACGGCGATAGTTAATGTCCGTTTTGGTGGGGACCTTTGTACGTGGCGTTCTACACTGTGAAAGCATCTTGTTCTCCGATAAAAGCACGTCTAGTGTACTGCAACTGTGGTTAGTTAACTGATATTGACTAGCTGCTTGTTTAATCGAAGGATAATGCAAAGGGAAGAATCCAGCAAAGTGGCCAAAGTTCGTGCGGGAAATTAGTCGTTTAAACGACAGTGTTTAACAACAATACTAGATGTGAAACTCTAAGACTAAGGGTGACAGTCTTCGTGATGATATAGTTGTAACGTATTTACCTACTCAAATGGGGGGATTGTAAAGTGGCTCAGATTCGACATCAGAAATGAACATAACTTGTTTTAATTAATGGCTAGCCATCCGACACGCTGTAGGCCGGATTTAAAATACAAATGTTTATGACACTTGGGTCAAAGATGGTTAGTTTCGATAGCTTTATATTGAAGTTACCGGCCTATCTTGTCTATTGAATTAAAATCATTCATCTTGTAACCCTAGTTGTTTTCCGCTTCATAATGCGTTAGTGTCAACGATTTGTTCGCTGCCATTGTTCACGGTGGTGGATCGCGAGTATGGTAGCCTATGCTTACTTGCGCATAGAAGTTAATTCGTCCATTAGAACAACTTAAAGGCATAATGAGTACAATCAAAAAACAACCAGGGTATCGCGAAACGTAGAAAAAGGCTATTAGGTACAGACAGATGCGCTAGGGAAAATAACTTCGTTTACACGTGATACACATCTAACAACGCCTATGGCTTGCCCGGTTGCTTAGCACGTCCTTCGGCCACTCACTATGAACAAAAAGTTACTGGCCATGGCCTCTTTGTATTTCAGTTGATGTCAGGACAATTGTCCGTTACTAGGAAAATTGTTAGCTGCACTGTTCCGATCACCGTTGAAAAAAGACATACTAACGTATAGGAGTAGCGAGCAAGATCTTCACGTACGTGCTTTCTCCCCGCTCTCTGCAGGAGAAGGAGGAGATTCGTCGGCACACAGTCATAGTAATCACCGTAATAGTAGTAGTAGAACAAGTGGTAGTTAGACGCAGCTGCTAGTGCGCAAAAAATCTCCCGGCACGGTCACCTACACGCGATACAAGATCTGATTGGCGGATGGAAAAGACAATTACGTCGCATCCATTATAGCCAAGATCTGCGCCCTTTTCTGTTACCCTCATCGATACCCATCCGCCTGCTGCCCCCAACTACCGTACTCAGCGTAGCTTCTATGTCCATAGGTATATTTATGCCTCCGAGGGGAAATTGTCGCCACGTGGGTCGGTCAGTACCTGCCACAGTATGCTATTTCAACCAATATGTGAAGGTGGCGGTAATGAGCGTCTGAAGCAAGGGCAACTAGGTGGCTTCTGGCACCTCTCAACTTTCTATAGTAACACTGTGAGGGCTCTGCACTCTCTGCTTTGCGTTGTTTCTGTTGCATTGTCCGGCGCCACATTTCCAGCTGTACTGGGTATATTGGATCTATGCATTAGGACAGCTGCGACGAACTAACTGCGTTGGAGAGACGGTCCATAGGAAAAACGAAGACCAGCTGGCCCACATTACGGCAAGACATGCTCAAATTCGGATCCAAAGAAGATCAGTCCCAGAGATTGATCTGGTGGCTGCTCTGTCGTTAGGTTCTATTGTAAACGGGATAGCACGGCGAAGGATCCTGTCTAGATATCATGGCGATTCACCGTGATAATAATCATTTGCTCTACTGTTTCGAAAAGGATCGAGTGAAGCTAGTCTACCAGGCAAAAAAACAACGATGTACTGACGAAATAATTACACTTGTGCACAGTATTACAGATAGACAGAGACACGGACATATTATCACTTCGGCCATCGTTAAGAAGGTTCTGTTTGTTCGAGTTCGTTTTGGCGCGATTTAGTTTATTTACATCAAAGCTACGATATGTATATATATATAAAACGAGATAATGTGATCACGTATGAGATAGTATAGCTTAGAAACGAAAAACGAACAGATAGGAATATTCAGTTTGTTTAATATGCGGAATTCATAGTAGATACACTGTGATTAAATGGTATGTGAGACTAAGCGGGCTGATGCTTGAAGGAAGAAATCCATCGAAGCAAAGAGTTCGTTATAACGATAGCTTGCTAATTATTCAGCTACGCTCGATACATAACCGCTATTTCGTACGCTTGTTGTTGTTGTTGTTGTTTGTGGTAACTGAAGTAGTACGGAACGCCAGCCGGAATCCTCGAAGTTGCGGTCTGTTTGTTATTGTTGTTGTTGTTGTTGTTGTTGTTGTTGTCAAGCTCCTCCAGGACAGCACCAAAGGAAGCAACGGTACTTAGTATTGTCGAACGGCGGTCTGTTTGTATTCCTTCCGCGACCGCTTTTTGCGAGCTGATGTTTGAGTCGAGTTACCGCTTGCCATAACGAGGCCGCTGAAGCTCGACTGCTCTAGAGTTTTTGAAATTTGTCACTGTTATAGATGTAGTTACTATCTCGACATGGCAATGCCTACTGCCTTCCACTTATTTCCGTCGTTGGCTGTGGCCAATGCTTTGTTACAACGAGATAGTTTTTATGTTGGAAACGTAACTGAAAACAGCGTTGAAAGACGTCCCTTTTCAACCTTTCTTCCTTTTCTTGCGTTTGTTTTTCGTCATCAACCCTCCAGGTACCCATGTATGACGCTACTTGCAAATACAACTTTGTCAAGCTGATCCGATACCTAATAAGTGTATTAAGTCTTTATGAGGAAAAGCAACTCTTTAAAGTTGTCTTTGGCGCCAAAAGAGGCGATGCACCTCGAGCTTATAATTACACTAATGAAAGTATCAAAATTACCCCAGCACATTTGTGGCTTACGTCAGAATGGCGGCTGCCACACACAAATCCCTCAGGTTTGCTTTTGCACAAGGTACATTCTAGGTCAGAGATCATTTCGGCTAACCTTGTGAGTAGACGGGGGTGGTGTGACGCAGGGTTGTCATGTTCCGAGAATCGCGGAAGGGTGCCACCAAGAAGGGCCACTCGAAACGCCACAAGTCCAGTCAACTGTAATAACCAGAAAAGTCAATAAGACAAAGCCAGTCAAATGGCTTTATGATCCCAGCCTCACTCGATACATCTAAACGATTTTCTCTGCTATAGTAGTAAATGACTAGAGTCCAGCCTTTGTCTCCACTTGGTGTAAGAATTCACAGAATAAGGACATTTCTTTGCCATTTTTACGTTTATCCTAGCTTTGACGTCGACGTGGACAAGCCGCTTAAGGACATAATAACTCTACTATAAAGGAAGGGGGGCAGGAGTACACATATCGTAGGTTATGATATATCTGAGATTCTCATATGAAATGAGCACTGTTTCGAAGCTATATTTTCCATCACAAGCACCAACTCACTCTAGCCTTGTGTATTAATGAGCCGTGTAAGTGCGGTCAAAACTTGATAAGGTAAGATAAATCGCTTGATATAACTTCTTTATGTAAAAGTCATACTATAAAAAGATACTAAACACCTACTGAGTATGATATATAATGTATGCCATTAATAATGTTTTGATGATGAGCACAAACCGTGATTGAGGAAGCGACTAGATGTTCGTCGGTAGTGAACAGATATGTGAGCCGATGAAAAAATCTGCTAAACCCTGTAATATCTCTTATTCCTCCGAATGCACTGCAATATACAGAAACAATGTACGTATGAAGCCAACGTTTCACGTAAATTGAGGTGACTGAGGACAATTGTATCACTCGTCACCTTAGAAAATACGAACAGTGATCATTATTATCATTATAAAAATTATCCAACTAATGAATTGCCTCAAATGAAGGCTGCTTGAATATTACGTACCAATTATCTCCTTTACGCAAACAGAATATCTAATGTCAGCATCTGCTTTTACAGTATATCTTGTTTAGTATTTTTAAATTCGATAACATTTAAAGATGCTCCCGTTACGTTCCCTGTCGACCCACATAGAGCTACCCAATGGCAATGATCACTTCGAGAGGATTTTAGTGTCGCGATGAATAGTTATTCGGCCTGATTTCGACAGCGTCCATATCAAAAAAAGTTAGGACTCTTCGCTCATATAGGGCAGGCTTATATGAATGATGATAGTTATAATATGACTTACGCCAGAAAAACTGTAACCGTAGCTTATACCCCAAACGCTATACTAATCAAATGCCGGCGAATTTATTCTGGCTCATTAAGCGCGGATTACAATTTACCCGTCAATCCATACTCAAATAGGTCTTATATAAAAACAACTATTTCCGTTTTTCCTTGATGCAATGCACTGCAATGATATAGGCTGGCCGACAAAGACATCAGAAGAAACAATTGACGGAAATTTGACAGAAATCTTGACGATATTAAAACAAGGACATCCACTTTTGGGCCCAATTTAACAACATCAAACTTAAGAATTGCACGCTATATGTGTATATTGAGCTACTGAGAAGGTATTGACCGTTTTTCCAGTTGTACGGTAGTATGGATCGGCGTTGGTCATGACACCTCAAAGCTGAGATTTGATTGTAGATGCCCTAAACTTGTCGGAATGCCTCTATTCGGATCTAAAATATAGGGCTAGTGAAATTTTTTGTAAAAATCGTTATATTTTACATCCACCACTATACAATTTTGAAACATTTGAAGGAAGCTATTAATAAAAAAGGCTTGATGTTTAACTCAAAGGAACTTCACTCTACGTTATTTTGCATGCGAAACAATTTACACAGATAGAACTTAATTACTCGCGGGTTACTCACGGGTCGTGAATAATAGATTACGTACAACACTTGATACGCAATGAAAATTTTAAAAAAAAATAAATAAATAACATAGGCTCCATGAGCCGCGGCCAAGCCCTGATTGACACTAATGAAAGTAGTTTTACGCCTTTAGTGGGATTGGTAAGGAGTCATGCATTTCGATTTGTTGCCACTTGGTAAAACTGTTAATTTGACCCTCTACTGCTAACGAGCAGGATTACAACAAACTAGGACTGGCCGCAACCAGCGAACAAAGTCTTGTTTCAACTATAAAAATGTTAGATAGAAAATTTATCCGCCATTATCGATCGTATCGATCTCCTGAGAACCGCCTTTTAATAGAAAGTTGTAAAAATAATTTATAGCACAATCTTTCGCCTGATGGAAGCTTACTGTTATCAGAAAAATGGCAGGATATCATCGATTGAAATGGTGCACATTAAAATTATCAATATTATGAAATATTTACTTCAATTTTAACCCAGAGACGGCCAATCCTTTTTCGACGACCCAATATATATATATATAACTTTTAAGTAAAAACTGTTTTGTGTGTGCATGTATGTATTTAAATATTATTACAAACAACCGATCTACCCTATTATTCATCTACTATATTTTGCCGAGCATTGCGACATAGGCTAGCCGCGTCGACGCAAAGATTCATACTAACATTGCCAACTTTTGGCGTATGCAATGTCGATGGGTCAGTCGGAAATTCGGATGACTTCCCGATTTGTGCCTCAAAGCCTTCGACTGTAATGATCGTCGCATCTTGGATCGTCAAGGCCATCGTGGTAAGACCTAACTCGGCAGACAAAACAGCGCACCTCTGTTTTCCTTGCGACTAGGCGGCATCGTACGGCTTTCATATGGAAATGCAGTAATCATCACTTAGCATCGATGACTGCAAGAGTTCTAACACAAGAATTGCTATTCTAAACGGTGAACACTTACCACTCGGACGTAACAATAGGCCAGATGGTACCCCTATGGGAAGATCAATCTATCATCTTCTTATTGAAGTCTACAGTATCAACATAATCTCGTGATCGAAGTCGAAAATTGATCAACTGGTAAGGCGCGTCTTACTAGAAGTGTAATTATTTCGCAGTGTGCCTTCTGCTTCGAGTTAGGAACGCGAGAAACCTTGGTAAGCACTTCTCTTAAAATCACAAGCAAATCATACCACACAATCACTATCAAACAGCAGGTCATTTGCCTTCCATTGTTTCTTTTACTGGGCCCATCGAAGGGTGTTCGTGCATTTCTTTGATCGGTTACTTCTGTGTATATACATACAAACATACAGGCTCAGTTACGTACATTACGAAAGGTACCATTTTCTATGTTTGATTCACGCAAAAAAACAACCTTTGCTAAATATAAACTAATACCGTTGCGATACCTTTCTGCGCAGATATTTTTAGATCAACGACATCATTGTGTCGATAACTGTCAACACTGAACTCACGCGAATATATCATAGAGTAAGTATATACACATACATAATACAAAGCGGTTTAACAATGTGTGTCTAAATAGTAAAAAAAAAATATATATATATATATTATAATATTCAAACATAATAATAAATAAACAAAAGCCATTGCGACATCCATTAAATGTGATTAATATAAAACAGGAAGAACCACTAAGAAGCATAAGCTTGCTGCTGCTGCAAGCAACGGTAATAATAATAAAATATAATAGTATATAATTAAGACATATCGTTGTGCAGTATCAGCAGCTTGCTTAGATCGGTGGCGAGCGGCCTACGTGGATGCTTGACACAATTGCTTTTTCCTAATTCTGTCGTACAGGCCACTCGCTTCGTTCATGCTTGTATAGTCTAGTTACAGCTACTTTTATCATCATCACGGTCTAAAGGTGTATCGAAGTATCAACCCAGCTCACACTCAATGGCGCTCAACCTTTCGATCGTTCCTGATTTAGCTACGAGGACTTGATGAAGAAGGCGATTGGTTGTTCAAGACGGCCCTATTTCCTTGAGGGCACCATTTTCTGTAGTATAACGTCTTCGTGCTATATTCCGCGACAACGGCCTGAAGTCGGACGAAATTTAAAAACGAGCCACCAGAAGTCTTGCCAAGGGCGAATTCAGTACAACGGGGCGCGTGGAAAGGTATATAGCTTTAGAAGCATTATGGCAGAGAGGAAGGATTTGTTGTGCTTGATATTTTTCTCATTTAGCACGCGCACAACCTTGGCTTTGTACGTTGGAAATGCTTGCCTTCTTTGATTCCTTGGGAAATTTTGTATCGCGATAAAAAACAATTAGAAATAAAGATGCAACATAATATTGACGTGAGGCTTCTCAGTCTACTGAAATTAGAATGTTACCTTATTAAATTGAACTCAATTACAGGATGGAGCACGCAGCACTACTTCAAGTACTAGCCATCTTACAGTGCATCCTACATTTATTTCATGTTACGTAATGCTGGATTCATCGATGCTCTATATGGGTTACCAAATAAAACTGATAAACGTCACTTAACGCTTAATACTAATACAGACGATGTCCTATCTAGCTAGATGACAATAAAAGCAGAAGATCTGATGTTGGCTTTTCGGTATATTAGACAAAAATGCGGTACTTTTTTGTAAAAAAACATACTTTTTGTTACCGCGAATATTTTCCGATCTAACTGCGATTCTTTTTTCCTGCAACGTATAACGTTTTAACGATAATAATAACTAAAAGAAAAGAAACATCATACAAGCTCTAAATAACAATTATCAGTTCTTACCACTTGTTTAAGCAGCATCGGTGCCTCCTTAAAAGTTGCCTTAATCGATACATTATAAACACCCCAAGGACGGTGAGGCCCTGCTCTTTACTCAAAAGGGCAAGTACGGCCAATGACATCGAAAGCCATATCTTCACTTTTGCGCTTTGCTGGACGCGAGCTTTCGTTGTCCAGGTTTTTGATGTCGTGTTCACTGATGACAACGAGAGTGGCGGCAGCGTCACTTCAGCCGACGCCAACGGCAAAACTTCGTCTGAATCATCCGGTTCCTGACACCTGTTCTGGCTACCTAGAACATCATCTTTACTGAGTCGAAACGACTCTTCATCATCTGCGCAGGAGTCAACGAATACAAGCAAGGCCGACAGGTAAAACACTCCGCAGAGGACGTCAGCACGACCCACGATCGAAGTTACCTGGAAACCAATAAGCAGAATGCAAAATACCTTGGGTGTCGTCGTAGCTAAATTGTATAGATGGTTCCCAAAAGACAATGTGCCTAGAACATGCATACATAACCTAAGTGTACCTTTCAGCAAAATTTATTCAGCTGCTTCATGTCTGAGCGACTGTTGTCGTTACCCATCTGCCCCACTCCGCATCTCTTTCATTAGAATATCTAATCTTCAATCCGCTACGTTACAAACTTGAGTTACCTAAAACTTCTTAGTATCTGCTCGCCTTTTCTGCCAGTTAGTTGTTGTGCTTTAAGTCAGCCTGAAGTCGGGCGGCTTGGAAGGTATTTCACGAAGAGACCCGAGAGACCAACAAACAACACGACTGTATTCAAGGATGCCTAATAAAAATATAGTGAACGGCGATTTATGCATCCTTTTTATATGTTTGCTTTTTTTTCGTTTTTCTAGGCATTCATTTTAAGGTCATCTGTCTATTTAAGGGTCCTCTCGAGCTGAAGCGAGAGCGTAAGTCCCAAGGCTCGTTTGTATTTTTAACCATTTTTCGTAACATTAGGAAACTTTACTGTGAACTAACAATTTGACTAATAACGGTAAAGCAGAAGGATCCGTACTGGAAGCGCAAAAAAAACTCGAAAACATTTCAAAGCAGGAGTTAGTCGAGCAATATCGTTGCGTGTCAGCAATTGAAGTACAGTAAATTTTGTAGTACACGGCCCCAAGCGGTCCTTCGAAGCAGATTCAAGTTCCAAGTAGTGGCAAGATGCATGCGTCAAAAAACTTCATCGAGCCCAACGAACGACCGGTGGAGTTTCCCTACATAACGGCAGCAGCCGGTCTATTCGCCGAGTCATTATGAAACTGTAGAGACCACGTTCTTTACTGTTTTGTATCAACTGTAGCTTTTAATTTTGTATTGAGATTTATTGTGGTTGAGAAAACACAATCGTCAATAATGCGGACAAGAAAATTCTTTAGCATGTAAAAACCTAGTACGATTGTAGCCATTTTCTCAGGACTTCATAACCTTGTTCTTTAAACATTACACTCCATACTGACATTACTACCTTTTCGTATTTACGGCGGCCCGACGAACGACAGGTAGCCGCGGTCACAGTAATAATGCTGGCAATAGGATGTTCGCGTCCTTGGCTTTATGCTCATGCTAAGTACGTTGAAATACAAACAAATCACGTGCATTCGAAAAGATGCATGACTCGGGTTTGCGGATTAGGTCAATGATGTTGACAACCCTACCAACACTCGCCGAACCACCGCCTCGTGGTTGCTCGGCGTGCCAACTATTGGAATGACACTCACGGGGACGTCTATGTGCGGTCTCATTTACGTCATGCATTTTTTTACGCCTCTCTTCTTCTCACTTGCACACTTTTTCCTTGCTTTCATTTCCCCCAGCCGTTTTTCATCACTGCGATTCACCTCCGTAGCGTCTCTCCATCTGTGTGATATGTATGTGGGTCGTTGTTCAAGCATGACCGCCGATCTATCTAGGGTACCGTTCTGCTTGCCGCATCTGTTAACGACCACCATTATCACCACCGTCGCCCTCAAGCTTCCTACACTGCCTGGTAAGAACCAACCAACAGACCATCCTTGTTCTGCTTACTCGTTATGCTATGAACTACGATGACACTTTTTCGTCATGCTCATCCTCTTCATATTCTGCTCGTCTTTCGAGGCCAGAGTAACCCGAATGAACAGCCTGTGTTCATTTCCCTTTCATTTTCTTGCACATGTACCCGCTTCGTCTTGCTTCACGCTATTTCCGAACGATCCAAGAACGCAGCACCAGTCAACAAAGCCCCCTTGCTGATCTTTTTCTCCCCGTCTACGCCGCTTTGTTTGACAGGCTGTGTGTGGCGGCTTCAACGGTGATGGCGCTGAAGGAGAGAGAAAGCGGCGGGAAATGGCGCAGTTATGGCAGCCATGGCAGCAGGGAAGCTCCTAGAATGAAAATCGTCCAAAATCCTTGGGCGTTCACTCACAACGGCAGAGAGCTGTGTAAATATCTCAAAACATGCACCGACTTCGTCTTCCTTCTGGCTGACCGAGCACTAGGATTGCTATCCCCACCCCGGAACGGAAATGCAGCACCAGCAGCAGTGGCATTGGTCATCTTTGCTAACGACTTAGTATAGTACTGCAGTTTAATTCGGTAGCGGTTTGCACCCGCTCCAGAAGCACTAGCACCTCTGCTCGCCTAAACCGCTTCGAGCCCAGAGGCGTAGGCGGAAGAGGCCAACGTCAAAAACACGGTGGAACCAACCAAGACGAAGAGTGCTGAAAAACCAAAGACTTTTTGTCAGAAGCGCCTTTCTCCTACGACTACTGGTTCTATTATTTCTGAAAGCTCTGTTTCTCTTCAGAGCTACTTCATGTCGCCTTGTAGGTCGCCGGCAATTCCAGTGGCTGAGTCGAGCACATCGTTCAAGCGCTCCCCGGCTTTCATGAAAAGAGAGAGAGAGAGAGAGAGAGAGAGAGAGAGAGACAGAGAACACAAATGCAGGGCAAAAAGAGTGTGTTCTCCTTCGTCCATCATCCTTTAGGGGGATGAGGGGAGGCTTTCGTTTCGTTCTGCTATGCATTTTCACATACAGAGTACAACAAAAACGCCTAGCTAACATTAAAATTGTCCTAAATCTAAAGATACCTATGAGACACTGTTTGTTTGTTAGTCTGTCGCACAAAGGCAAAAAAGGTAAACGCGCCTACACAAAGGGAGCCAAAACCTGTTAATTAAAATGTATTACTCTTTAATCGACGGTTTCCTCTGTTCATCATGTTAAATGTGTTGCGCGTGCCAACAAAGTGACGACACAGATATGCCACGTATATCCAATGTAAATAAACTGATTGGCATATATTGCTTTAGAAAAAGAATGCGCCATGGAAAAGATAGACGTACCGCTTCGGTGTGCACTGGTTGGACGCCAAATACGAGAACGGTAGTGATTTGCAGAGCCAACGTCAACCTGGGTCTCCCCCTTTCTCTGGTTACAAAGCAACGCTGTATTCTCGCGTCGTTTAGCCGACCCATCAGTTCACCAAGAAGGAGACAGCATGTCAAATGAAGCAACACGTTCACTATGTGGTAAGCCCGCGTACTTGACAGACCTCCATATAGATAATTCAACCTGAAAGAAGGTGAGAAGTAACAAATTCAGAATTGGTCTGCCGTAACTACCCTATGTTGCCAGCCGGTAATTAGAAGCATTTCTGTTCATACCATTAATTAGTATGATGCTAAAATCTTCCGATAGGGTACAATTCACTTTGTTTTTGTACTAGAGCAGGTTAATATTATCAGCTAACAATTGTATCTTGGGTTATCGCACGTGTAGACGAACCAAAAAGCCAGTGGTAGAGTTCATATACGGAGTGTCAGGCATTTCGTATAGTTTAACAGGCAAGATGTGAAATAAACAGAATAAGCATTAAAACTGCGCTTATATTTACGTTGAAGAACAATTGAATTTTATTTCCACCATTTTGAGGCCCACGCTAGATTTACCCATAGTTGGGTCAACCATTTTTTAAATTAGTGCTGTCATAATTTAGTATACATTGCGAATGTCAGCCGTGTTTGTCGAGGCGATAAAATTCTATGGCAACGTGTTTTATTACCAGCGTCAGCCCAGAATTGTCGCGCCAAATAAAAATGATTGCCCCTCTTAGACCAATAAATTGATGACCATATGCTCAAAGAATCGTGTAGTACTTCTAAAGGTCTTGGATTATTTCTGGTGTTGCCATCTTTGGCACGCTTTATGGTTTCAGCGTTTATGCCATCTGTGAACTGTGCATATCTACGTATATTCTACCGCTAATTTGCCTCTTTGCTCTTTTTCTTCTTTCTGCTGCCAGAGCATGTACAAGTTGGCACCAAATAGGGTACCTTGTGCTTCTCGTATTTTCTGGGCTGCGTTTACTATGGGTATTAAATAACAAACCTCCATTGACCTCCCTGTTTACAGTCTAGTGTCTATATATCGCCATCGTAGAACACTGAGAGTAGGGATATTGGCGAGAAAGAAATAAAGGCCAGGCTCCTAAATGTGATAATGTGGGAACACTGAGGAGTAGGGGTCGCAACTGGGGCACGAGATTCTATTTACTTTCGAGTACACCCGCTTCTAAAGCACAAGCCGCTAAAGTATGGGCCAATTAATCGAGCGCCGTAGTTCTTCTTTCGCTTGTGTGCTCTTTCTCTGATTCTTGCCCTCTAGGTATCACCGTGTGGCAAGCAAGGAAATCGCTATCTTGAAGGTTAAAGGGGAGCACGCTCCATGTGAAGTTATCGTTCGCCGAGACTCGAGTTGGCGCGCGTTTATTGTCCTTTGTGTACTCAGGATACACATTGGAGTCAATCTCGCTATGAATGTTGCCTTTGCCACTGTCACTGACATCGCTTCACAAGAGGCCTCTTATCCGCGGCCATCGTCGCCGTCCAGCCGATGTCTGAGGGCGAATGAAGCTCCATTACTCGACGCAGTGACAGTAACTGCGTGACGATCTCAAGCAAGCAATGCCCCTAGCACAAAGCTAAAGCCTGACTTTCCTCACGGTTGAGCCGGAAAGGACAAAAGTGGTAAACTCAGTAAAAGTTTCCTATAAAATTAGGATAGAAGGAGTGGCAGTTTTGACGTAGTGTCGCGGTGACTCGGAGAGTCTTGCAAGCTGCTTTCCGAAGACTACGATCATAAGTCCTTCACCATTATATTAGCCCACTTTGCGTTCGTAATCTTCCATCCGCTGCTGGTTCTCTTACAACCAAGGCGAGCTCGGTCTCCTCACTCATCTTTTGCTAAGATATTTCTGTTGGACAAATGTGCAAGTTTGAAGGAGGTTGTCTCAGGTAGACGCACGTAATATTCAGCTCGAGTCTACATTAATAAGATTAGCAAGTCCCTTGTGCAAGCCGGTCTAGCTGTTCCAGCCTCTGGCCTTTCCGATCCCGGGGGTGCTTACATCTACGGTGTCTGCCTCAATGACGGCTACAACTTTTCCTATTCGATGAGCCTAAAAGATGTCATCCCCGTATTAGAGGGCGCAAAGCCGGCGATTGCTCGGCCTATCTACCGCATGAGTTTGTAGGTCGCGTTAACATAGTCTTCATAAGCCGTAGAACAGGCAAGCGCATTATGAAAACCATTAGTGCAGCGGTATCGCGTCGTTATCAGCGATCTGAGCGCACACCTTCCTGAGTACATTTCGCCGCGTTTCACCATTATTTCTACCGGCGCAAAAGGCTGAGCACCGGACTGTTCGAGAGAAGAGAAGAGGGGATAAAAGGAGGGGGTGTAAAGGGTTAAAACAACATGGCAGTGCCAACATGTTAATTTCTCTCCTTTTGTACTACCGTACCAGCATGCACAAAAGCAAGCTGTCGACCACTTAATCACAAAAAGAACTTCTTACCAAAGATTTACTTTGCACCAAGTTTCAACAAAGACTGGTGTCGCTATCTGAATATTTGCGATGCCTCTATCTTTATATGGAGTTTTGTAGGAAAATCATTTATTTTGGAATCAGTTCATCGCATATAATTAATTCGTGTTTATATTTACCTGTTCTTCTAAATATTATAGATATAGTGGCATTCCCATAAAATAAAGTAAAATACATTTATTGGTAAAGTAGATGGTACCTGTTTATTTGAGCTCTCTGTAGAAAGAGCTGTTTAGTCATAGATATATATATATATATATATATATATATATATATCTAATTGCCTACAGACGCTAACATGTCTCATATATAGCAACAAATCTGCAATATAACTCGAGTTAGATTTACTCCGATTGCCGGTTGTAGTTTATCCACTCTCATTATAATACATTCAACCTGAGCGTCTATTCTTCTTAGATTTACATACTGTTATGAGAAAGACTGATTCTTCTTTTTATCCATTTATCTAGTATTACTGTCCAATTTTCTAGACAATATTTCAATAACATTTCCTTAAAACGGCCGCTCCTACGGCACTCGAAGGCCCCAGCGTGCGCCGGCTCACGTTTCTGTCCATGGATCGGCTTTCGTTTATATGCTGGAGTATTTCGATATTTTGCTAAAAGCTCTCTCGTTGTTTCCCCTTGACTTTCTCTTCTGTCGACGTTCCTCGTTTGTCTCATTGTGGCTCGAACGTCTACAAAACCCCAGGTATTCCCGATATCCTGTTTACCGCCATCGTGCGCACGCTTATTTGATAATACTATTTTACGTCGACTGTCCTTCCATGGACTATTTTGTGCCCTTCAGCCCCAGCTACACTATCTTTCCGGTCGCTATATGCGACTGTAAGGTCTCTCCATTCAATCCCGCTTTGTCTGCGCGGATCCCCCTTTCAGGTCCATGTGCTTATAGCGGGACCACCTTTCTCATCATCGAAGCAAGCGTGAGCTAGTCGCCCGTAGACGAACGTCGTTGACTTCTCTCATCTCCTCCTTCATCTGCCGAACCATACGAAAAGAGTGGAAGCCTCAATGAGAAAGTTTTTTTTTATCTCGGGCGTTTTTTCGTCTTTCGTTCGCTTTCCACCAAGAGCGGGAACGCTGGATAGAAGGGTGCTGGCAGAAAGGCTTTCACCTGGTAGGGCAGTGACAGTTCTACCTAGAACTTGCATTTTTCGATCCACCTTGCTCCTTCCTTTTATGTTAACGCCAAGACCCTTCCGCTTCCTACAGCTGGTACACCGCAGAAGCAGAGCGAAACGGCGTGACGAAGCTGTTTTCTTCTCGACTCGGCTATAATATCCCTCCTTCCACCCATCTTTGAAAAATGGAACGTAGCGAGAGCCCATGACGGCCGCAGTGGCAGACTGTCATGGATATGGAACAGAAGGCTAAGTTTACGAAGGTCCTACGTCAGGACTTTAGGAAGAAACGCCTAGATGAGCAGGGTTTGGTTGATGATCGGTCGGAGCTGGCGAGATGGTCGGTCCGTCCTCCAGTGCGCGGTTCTCACTCGGAACTCTTAGATACCTGCCTTCCAGCGTGTCTACCTAAAAAAAAGGGAAGAGCTCGAAGAAGATCTGGGCGTTCTGCGCAAACTGCTGAGTCGCACCACAGCATCCACTATCCGTATGCTCTTCGATTCTCTCTCCAATATGGCAAGAAACGCCAGGGCAAGCTGCTGGTACTGGGCAGTCAGGCAACTCAGCCCTACCAACCCGCCTACGCTACGCCCCCGTTGTCAAGCGAAGCCAGGGGCTATGGCCATAAGATGGGCACGGGGAATTGCCAGCCACACCGCTGTCAACCGGACCGAGGACAAGATCCATTTATTATTTTATCTGTTGAAACACACAGACTCGCAGAGTAGCTAGTAGTAGGAGTTATGCTCAAAACTATGTAACGGCAAAACGGCAGAGTAGACAGGCCTGAAGCAGCTGCTGGCTGCCATACGGCAAGGTAAGCAGGTTGATCAGAGAAGCATTTCCTATCTGATTCAGCTTTCTTTATTGAAACGAACACGCATTGATAAATTATGGCGTTGAAAGTTATGTATCGTAGGAGCTATGACAGTGCTTATTTTGCCTTTTCTTGTTACATGTTTCCTGGTTACCAACTAGCCGGAAAAAATCCAAATCGTTTACAAGTTTCATACTTATTTATGCATCGTTGCATGTTCCGATGAACCAAATAATTAAGCAAGGTAACGGACCTTTCCGTTGCTGATAGATCCATGTAGATGAAAACGGTTATTCTCATCTAAAACTTTACCATGCCTTTTACTCTCCATCTATCACTCCCCGCGTAACAAAACTTTGGTCATTACATGGTTTATGAAACAAGCACCAGCTCAACGAGGCGCCTTATGTCGCCGCGTTCAACGACTCAGAAGGAGAGGCAGTATCCGAAGCGTATGTGCCGTTCGGTCTACGTCAAATCACCAACGAGCAAAGCTAGCACGACTGGCCGACAAAGCGGAATGAGAACCAGGATAACAGCTCAAGCACAGGAGACCTTGGTGTCTGCTGACATCAGGCGTTATGGCAAGGTAGTCAAGCCGCAAGCATGAGTCTTTCAATCACTATGCTTTTTCGGGGTTTTTTTGGCAACCTAAACACATCCTTTTTATAGACTCAGTATTCCGTCCATTTATGCATGGGTTCATCCATGAGCCCACGTCAGCT